TATCTATCTATCTATCTATCTATCTATCTATCTATCTATCTATCTATAACACTTATAATTGGTGACATTGAGTGGTGATATGCTTTTTGTTCATTTTTGTGAGTTAAAAGTGAAACTTTAACATTTAGACACGTACAGTGTTTCTGTTCATGATTCATTAGTTGTTCAATCACTGCAACAATGTTTGCAGTGTTTTTCAACCACTGGGATGATTAAACATCATTGACGTGTGAAATCTAGGTAATGACTTCACGCACATGAAGATCTTGGTTTCTTTTGGTTTCTCACATTATGGTTAAATCTCATACTTGCCTTTCTTTAATGTATAGGGATTAACCACTGCTGCATTTAACTGACTGGACTGAATGTAATTAAAATTTCATTATTAAATAAGATGCTCATTTTCAGCTTTTTTTATATATACTATAGTGTATTGTAGGTGTTTCTAAACTAAAAACCAAAAATCACATATGCTGTTTTATGGATAGTTGATCTCTGTAAAGGTTTTAATGTGTTTTCCGAGTGTATAGAGAGAAGGAAAGCTGGGAAAACTGGCACAACCCTTTTCAAACTCATGCAGGAAGAGGATGGAGGGCTCTAAAAGTAATACACTAAAAAATACATTTAGACAACTGCCCCCACCTACTTAAGAGAATAGTCACATTTACCCAGGACGGGTGTGAATGTGCAGGAAACTGGGCTCCTATCAGAGATGAACTGCTTGTGTGCAAAAAAAGGAAGGGAGAGGAGAGGGTGTAGCGAAGGACAGAGGAAAAAGAGGGCAAAGGATTGCAGCTGTGTGATTGAATCACTGCTTTATTCAGAATTTGGACACGCCAAAAACAGGATACTGTCAGGCGGGGTGAGGAACAACTGCTGCAGTTAAACAGATTAAAGGGTGCACTACAAAAACAGAAAGGACTTATTTAGTTTTTTACGATTTTTTTTTTTTTTTGGAAAGTAGTTTACATAAAAGCAACACCAACAGACATGTTTTAGAATAGGAGAAAGGAGATGGATTGAAAAAGGTCTGTTAAGCTGCACCTTTACCAACAATAATATGACAGATAAAATACACTTAGAAACTGGGCAGAGTGAAACAAGATCCACAAAAACCCATACCCTGCGTATTATTTGGATCTATAAAAAAATCTTGTTGAACACATATTGAATATGGCTGTACCACCGTCCTCCAATTAGTATGTTTGGCTCTATTCTAAAAAAATCTAATGGCCAACTAATCCAATGGTTCATGCTTTAATGCTTCACACTCTAACAGCCAAAACAAACGGACAGGTTCTAAAACAACAACCGTGGCTGTTCTTTAGATAATTTTTGCTGTTCTAATTTTTGACACGCTTCATTTTCCGTTGGTCATTTTGCACCTCTTTGTAGTCATTTTGTGCTTCTTCTTGATAATTATACTTCCAATAATGGCTGGTTTGTGTCTTTATTTTGTATTTTGGTTTTCAACTCGGGAAGATGTTAGATATCCTTCTCCAGTTTTCCAGTTTTTACGGCTATTTTGAATGAAATAGTTTATATCTCTAAAGTCTAATTTGATTTATTTTCTATTCTTCAAATGGTACATGTTCAATTTCTGTGATTAAACCAGGCATCCCCTTATTCCCTTATCTTCTAGGCCCTTGCCCGGAAGATCTGATTAGTGATCCAAGCTTAATCGACTCCCATGGAGCTCCATCTCTGCACCAAGTTACAATCAAGGGGCAACACCTCTGTTTTCTATCTATCTCAACCAAAAAATTATTTTTAGTACCAATACTTTTGAATATCACTTCAATAAATGCAAACCAGACAAAGCAGAGGTCCAGTAGGGTGGTAGCTTTTTTTGCTTGTTCATCGGAACACCTGCTGGTGTGTTTTCTGGATCTCTTTTCGAGAAGTGATGGTTGTGTTCTGAGTGAGGAAATTGGGACAGCCGTGTGTGCTATCAGTATTTGCCCATGGTAAACACAGTACAGTCAACGGCATAAATCACAATTAAGAATGGTTTATTTGTGCATTTGCCTGTTACAGTGGCCTCAGGCGATGATAATGGAAAATGATAATAATAATGCATCTAACCTTTATTCCTAAAAACCATAACGCAAATGGAAATGTCATGTGTCGGCGAGCGCGGGGCTGCTTTCATTGTGCAATAATGGCTTTTGAATGGGTACAGTGAGAAAGTAAAAAAGCACCTGCAAACAGGGAGAACAGTGGGCAGTGATGGAGATTATGTCACTCCAGCACCCACTGGGGAGGAGGATCCTGGACTAGGCGGTGATGGGTGTGCGTCATGTTCTCAAATCAAGCCCACCATCTCACACAAACACACTTACAGACTGACTCATGTGTGCACATGAGCGCAGAAATGTCAGAAACACAGCATGGCACACAGAAACACTTCAGAGCTCTCTGATTCTTGATAACTGAAAATCACCACGGCAACTGAACACCGATAACACTTTGAGGCAGTCTGTCTCTACATGTCTCTCTGCTTTGTCCATCAAACAAAAACGCAAACGCAACACGTGATGGTGTTGTTAGGTTCATTAAGACTTTCTTACCATGAGATCATAACAACTTAAAGAATGTAAACATACTATGAAATACAAAAATCAGTGTTTGTTTCTGTAAATCACTCACCTGAGGCTGTAGCAGGTGCCCCTGCTCGTACTGTAGGACAGAGAAAAGCCTGGAAACTGGACGCACACAGCTCACTAACGGTCCCCATCACAACACAGAGTGTACTCAGGGGTTAGTGAAAAAAAACAGTGTTTCGAGTCAACGGTATCCTCACTGCATCTCCTCCCAAAGGACCCCAGTCAGAAGCTCCTTGAAGAAGCGTGTCTGTTTTCACTCCCGACGGCCGCCAGACTCTGCCGAACTCTCAGAAAAATACTCCCCGCTCTGCTCTCCCTCCTCCCTCCTCGGTGTTGCTCACACACTTGACCTCACTCCTGAATTCCGCCTGGCACGCGCCACACTTTCACTACTGCGCACATCCAAAAAACATGACAATGCACAGGCAGGATTTCCAAGAAATGCGAAAAACATAATTGAGCATAATTGAGTTTATGCTGTTTAGAGACACACACACAAACACACACACCCACTGCCGTGTCCCTTTGAACAGTTGTTGAAGTATTCTTGGAAGTGATGACAAATGTGGACGCACATGCACACAATCGCATATCATCCCGCTTCACACCCACACACACGCATGGGAGCTCAGTTTAGTTTAGTCAGAGCTGAGCAAACATACGCACATGAGAGGTGGATGGAATATTAGCTCCAACAATGTACTTTAAAGACTTTTCAGACCGTCTATTGGAGCATTTTTGACATTGTCTTCGAAGCCTTGACAGAAATGTTTGAATATTTTTGAGCATATCAAGTAATTATCGTCATTCTGGTCTTTGGACATCCTGTCAGGTGGATTTAATGAACGTTCAGTCCTGAGGATTAACTCTGACGCAAACGATTACGGGCTTTACAGAAAAATGTGCTTTTTCTTTAAAGAGGACATTGTACAAGAACGTTTATATGACTGTGGTCATAATTAAGTTCAGTTGCGCCACCTCACATCTCAAGCTACTTTACAGAAACGTTTAATAAGTTTGATCAAAGTCCAATTAAAAAAATACAACCCAAAGTTTGAATGCTGTGTACAATGTCAACGAAAAGTAAACCTCACAATCAACAATACTCTCAATAGATCTTAGAAAATGAATCCTGTGATTAAAGTAAGACAACTTTACTATGTCATAAATGTTGAAGAGCAAATCCCGGCCTATTTAGCAGAATCTAAAGAAGTGCCATGGAGAGTGGTTGGACAGTGAGTCTTTCTGAGTGTTTTGAAGGCAGTAACAATGACCTTCATGCCATAACATCTGAAACATGTCTGCAGTTGTCACAGCAGTCCCTGCATATGTTGGAGACCTTTCTCTATATAGACCGGCCAACTTAACTAAATATACCCTCCGTCCGCCACAGAGAGCGAGCGTGGCTGTGCAGGCCAGTGTGAGGGAGTGTGATGGAGTCTGCCACTGCTGACAGTCCAGGCTTGATCTAGTTCCTTCTGTCCACATCTCTCCATTCCCTCTTATGCGCTGCATTTCCAGCATCACCTCATCTTTTGTCTCATTAAATCCGTTTGAGACGCCTTTTTCGTCACCTCTCTCTGTAGAGCTGACCTGTTTCTCTTTTGCCCGACCTCGTACTCTCTTGAACTTTTTCCCACCACTTATCGCTCAGCGGCGTACTCACCCTTTCCTCTCTCAGAGCGTTTCCCTCAGCAGGGAGATAGATCTCAGAACATTTCTTCAACATTGTCATCCGTGACTTCATTCCGTGCCCTCCTAGGATTCATTTTCACAAAAATACAGCGCGTGCAGAGTATATTTAGTTCAGAAAAAAGGACGCAGGTGGCACTGCAAACAACAGAAACGGAAGAGTAGGTGGTGTGATGTGACCAGATTCGGTCAACTTTGAGAAAATTTGCCTCCTGCTGTTGTTTCCATCAGATGGTTTTAAACCAACTGGTTGTTTTTCACAGTAAAAGACACAGTCACACATTCCAGTAGAGCAATTCTCTATTCTACTACCATCACATAAACACCAGGCATCTGTCACTGTTATTTCTACGCATATTTTCCCCTTTTCTTTTCAGCATTTTATTCCTTTTCTTAGTTTTATTTCAAACTCTTCCTCTGTCGCTTTTCTTGTCCTTGTCAGTCTTTTGCTATATTGTCCAAAAATTTTAATTCCCCCACATTTTGTGTCATATGCAAACAGTTTTCTACATTCTAGCTAAACATTTTCATAAAATAGCAACGTGATCCCACTGAAGAAAAGAGCAGCAAGTCATGACATTTTTCATCTGTTTGGATAGTATAGATACATTCTGTAACAGACGACAGTTGAACCCATTTCAACAGTGTCCACACTTTGAAAATTACAACTATTATCTTGCAGAGGCGGAAAGACATATTTTTAGACAGAAATCAGTTCCTTGGCAACCTGTTTGAGTTGGTTTGAAGTCATTTCAGAAAAATAATCTCCTGTAACTTTGAGGAAACTGGTGTGTTGTTTTGCATTTTTGAGGAGGAGACAGCACAAATCACAAAAAATCACAATGTGTTATAATGTTTGACAAATTACAGAGCAAAACCCTTACTATCCAATTCAATTCAATTCAATTCAATTCAATTTTATTTATATAGCGCCACATCACAACAACAGTTGTCTCACAGCGCTTTCCAAACAGAGCAGGTCAGACCCTACTCTGAAGTTAACTACAGAAACCCAACAATTCCCACCATGAGCAAGCACTAGGCGACACAGGCAAGGAAAAACTTCCTTTTAACAGGCAGAAACCTTGAGCAGAACCATGGCTCAGGGTGGGCGGCCATCTGCCTCGGCCGGTTGGGGGTGAGGGGAAAGAGAGAGCAAGAGAGAGAGAGAGGGCGAGAGAAGGACAGAAGGAGCAGAGAGGGGCAGCCAACACAGCAACACGTAGAATAGATTAAAAATGGCAATGATATTAATGCTAATGATGAGCAGGAACATGGGGGCAGCAGGAAACTCCCAACCACAGATCCAGACTCCACAGCTCTAGGAACACCTGCAGGAAGTGATAGGAGGAATGAATAATCGGTTAAAAGAATGATCGGAATGATCGGTGAACGTTACACAAACACTTTTAAGGTCTCCACAGAATTTAAGTTAGATATTTGTTTACCATTTAGGTGATTCTCATACCACGAAGCTTTAGAGCCGACGTTCATGATCCTCTGACTTTGTCTTTTTCTGCTTTTCATCAAGATATCTCAGCCGCGTCCAATGAATGACTTTTAAAAGCTCTCCGTGTCACAATGAAACCTCACACTCAAACATTTATGGTAACTCAGCACTCTTATTTATGCTTTCCCCCTGGTGGTAATAACAGGGTGAAGAAAGTCAAACAGTCTTGCAGCCTCTTGTTGAAAGAAAATGAATAACTGATTGTGTTGACACATTTCCACAAGTAAACATCGACAAAAGGTTTACCACACATTCACACTAATCTCATGTTATTTTATGTTCTCTCATTTTCATAACATAAAACTGCATAAATAGTAGATGAGGCACGGAACTGACCAAACATATTTCTAATGTGTGATAAAACTGCTGAATGACTGTGAGGATGCTTTGTCTACGGGTGGCCACTGGATGGCATCAAAACCACAGGGGACAGTGTTTCTGTGCCTCAGTCTCCTTGACCATGCAAACACCCCTCACTGCAGCTTAACTCTAAAAAATAACAGTAACATTTACTAAACAGGACACACACACAACCATAGCACAACATCCGATTGAGTTTTAAATCATGTGATTTAACTCACTGTGAGCTTTCTGCCACATAACTTGTCCTCTCTCTTCCCATAAAGCTAAGGGATTTATAATGTGTGTTGTGTATTGAGTGTGAATGCTAACTCACTGTTTTTACCTAAATACAGGTTCATTGTCATCACTGGGAATTTTATCAGATAGGATTTGCTTCCTGGAAATGTGTCACAAATAAAGACTCCATTGTCATCATTAGTTTATCTCATCACTTGATTAAATCAGAATTATGTCATACAGCGTGTGAATGATACATTGACCAAGGTCAATGTTTTAGCAGTTTTTATGCTGTTGTGTTAATTGTATGTCTCAACCTGCCTGTCCTCACTGCATTTGGAAATCAGGATTGCAAAGTACAGCTAAAAAAAAGAGTCTCTTTTGCTCAAGTGTTACCCAACAAGTTTCAAACACAAAGACTGAAGACCAGAAATCTCCAGAAACCCGCATGAGCGCATTCAGGCCATATATGTGAACATTTCTGCCTCCCTTGGCTACGATGACGTGCCCTCAGAGTGAAACCCAGCGCTGGAAGAATTGAAATCCCCTCTGACAGAGGACGACTACAACAGCCCTGTTGGAAATCACCAAGAAGAGAATGAAAAAAAAAAAGACAAACCCACCCAATCCGGGCTCTGACTGTGCATTTCTCAAATATTTTCCGAGCTGAGTCGATTACCACATTTACTTGCCCTTCTCTTAGAACAGATTACTGTTATGCGCTGAAGTCTGTCCCTCAGAGGGAAATGAACAGCAACCAAAGGAAGGCCAAGAATAACTGTCTAAGATAGCAATATAACAAACGCTAGGAAGTTAGGTCTCACATTTAGTCCCATTAATATTTTTCTCCATCAATTTAGATTTACCCTGAATGCATCTGGTGCTCACTCACCTGTTATTTTATTGAGCCACAAGGCTCAAAAGTATATCAATATTGATAATGATAAATAATAAGTTTGGGGGATTTTTCCCATTCAGTCATCTTATGGGGACAGTGGGTGGACAGTAGTTTTATGGGTTCGTCAGGAGTGTTTAACTGGGTCCAATTGAAGGTCAATTGAACGGTCACTTGTTCTTAGGCTACTCCAGTGTCTTGCTTCTCCGTTGTCTGGGGAACTTTGCGTCTGTGTGAAAGTCGAGCACCCTGAAGCCGGTTCAGCTTTGGAGTTTCTAAACTTTCCACCAACCATTGACAGGCTTTCCTTCTCCAGCAATTGAATAAAAACCCCTCGCAGCATGATCCAGCCATCACTGTGTAGTTTTTTTTGTTCCGGACACAGCCAAGTAAACAAGTTCAGTTTTGGTCACAAAATGTCCCACAGTCTCTGCCAGAAAGCCTGGATCTCCATAGCGATCATTTAATGGAAGTTTCCCATTGCTGAAAAACAAGTGCCTGTTCTCATATTCAGTGAAAATTGTGTTTTAGCAAAAGCTTGAGTAGCTTGTTGGAAGGGGGAGCTCTTTGCTTTTACTTTATGACCCCACAGGATATCACGGTTATGGCCATAAAATTAGGTTTACCAAAAGACTCCAGTCCTCGATTAAAGACGTTTCAAAGATAATGAAATATACAAATGCATCAAGCAAACAAGTCTGAAACACACAGCGCACACACTCTTTCAAACTTGAGTTTTTTTATTTGATAATACTGAATATTTTGTCCATCGCCCGGACTTACAATAAAGCATCAAACACATGCACAGTCCTCTATTCACACACAGTACCCATTTCTCGTTTCTCTACACCTCTCTGAAAAGGACTAATCTCGCCCCCTCTCACGTTACTCCAGCGCAAGAGGACCCTCTCGACAGCACTGCTAAAAACATTGGGGACAAACACAGCGAAAACACACAAAAATCATGACAGGTATAATAATATAACACTGAAAAAAAATACAAAGTAAAGGAAATTGGAAAGAGCTTACTTTTAAATTATGCCTCTAATACTCCATTATATATAGATTTTTTTTAGTTAATGTAGCTTGAGGTGTATAAAACAGCACTGTAAACTTTGATTGAATAACTTGCTTTCTAGTACAGCGGTAAAGCTTTCATGTAATTACTTGAAAGACGAGTCAAAGCTAACATTAAGCGCGTGAAGACCGTATTACTCATGAAATGAACCATCTGATTATCAGGAAACTGCTGTTTGCATTTACAATCAACAGATTATACAAAGACACTGAAACATCATTCCTCAAGCTCCTCTTGTTTCTCTTACACACATAAAATCTGCAAAAAGATCCTTTATCTCGAAACCTCTCACGCATCCACTAAGTTTAGCTTTCACTGCAAATATTACCCTATGTTTTATGACTAATACAGAAAGAATTAGCTGACGCTTATGAAAACGGATCACCAAAGCACTCAAAAGTAGAAGAAATCTGCACCTGAGGTGGATCTGTCGGTCTTGATGAATGATTACTGTCACATCAGAGTGTTCAGGCTCTTGTCTTTACTAAAACTCATCCTCAAAAAGTGCAAATCTAGTTCTAATGCAGTAAATAATAATCATCAAGTAACAACAAAAGTATATGCATAGATACTGTACAGCTACATAACATAGAATGGATTTTTAAAGAGAAAGAATGAGGAAGAGTGAGGGATGTCTCTGATTGCACTGCAGGGCAGTGAGGAAAAGTTTCATCGATCTAATTTTGGAGTGCTCGTCTTCACGCAGCATAGACTGGTCCAGTGAGGCCTGTGGTAGTCACAGGCTTCAGCTAAAAAGCCCTATGAGAAAAGATTTTCACCCTTTGAAACCAGAAAATATCATCAGCCGTGTGAGGAGATGATTCATGCTCTTTCTAAAGAAAGCATGTTGTGGGCGATGTCATCAGAGGCTAAAGCAGATGAGATGATGAAAGCGTAACTAAGAGGGGAAGCAATATTTTTTTTTAAAGAGAAAAGAAAAAAAAAACAGAAAGGCAACTTGGAAATCTGCTTTGGAATAAAACTGAGAATGAGGTAATAAAAGTAGAAACGTGAGGGATAAGGAATGACTGTGAGACTGATTGATGGGGAGCAGAGCTGTTAAAGAGCTTTGTGGGGCAGGAAGTGCTCTGTCTCTCCAAGAATTTATGTCCTCCTGACGCCAGCCTCAGAAGGAAGTTACATCATCACTCGACCAGTCTATGTCTCATGATGCCATTTTAAGTTTTACAGAGACTCTGCGGCTGAGAACGACCTCTGAGCCACACCAATAAGAGGCTCAAAGTAAATTTCAGACCTGCAGGTCATTTTGGTCACATTAGCTTTTTGCCTTTTACAGATTAAGAAAAAAAAAATCATCATTTTGCCCGATGTCGAATTCTTTGATTTTCATTTGAATCGTTTACATTTTTTTTCCATCAGGCTGTGCAGCGGGACGTCACGGCGTGACTAAGGGTCCTCGGCGTCCAGGAACTCCTTCTTGGGCGGCGCCACGCCGCGGTACCAGGAGCAGGAGCCGTCCGCCCTCTTCACGCAGGCGTAGTGGTTGGCCTGGCGACCGTGCACCTGCTTCTCGATCATCAGGTCCGTCCACAGACACTCCTCGGGAGCGGAGATCTCACAGGGCAGAGAGGGACAGCGCACAATCTGTGGAAAAAGAAACACAAAAACAATATTTATTTATTTATTTATTTATTTGAATAGGGACAGAGCACATTAATGGACATCAGTGAAAACAAATGTAAATATGCCGGATTGTAGCTACAAAGCTAATTTTCATCCGTAGTCCCATATGACTATAAAGTTGAGTTGAGGCCTTTGGGTCTCATTTCAGATAACCCTACCCCTGTGCTTCTGGGTGTAAGAGAATAATACCTTTCCACCAGGTCTTTTAATAAGGTCAATAAAACTAAATGCAGAAGCAGTGTGTAAAAATCTAATTACACCTCCATTGGGTATGGGTAAGTCATGGCCTTGTCTATTCCTAAAATTCAGAAGTCAGCTTAAAAGATTGCCAACGCGTAGAAAACATTCAAGATAATGACCAATCTTCCCAGGAGTAGACGTACAAACAAGCTCACTCCAAGGGCAGACTTTGCAAGGCTCAGAGAAACTGTAAGAAACCCAGGAGCTCCATCTCAGACTCTACAGAGCTGAGTTAGCATCTTAACTCGTGACTGCACAGTCTAAAAGAGACCTTAATCAATCTTTTTTTTAGTGGACTTCTCTCTGGATGTTTCCCGTATGCTCATTCGTTCTCTAATAACGTGCTCCAAGGGTTACTTAGTACCACACAGTCACAGAGGTGCACATTTATTGGTTAAGAAATTAGTTGCTACTGTCTCTGTGTCATTCTAACATAATCGTTTCACAGTTATCCCATAAAAGACCTGCTGAAATATGAGTCACCTAGTTAAAAAAAAAAAAAAAACTGTTGCCAACAGGTATATACAGCAAACACATTGCAAATATATTGCTTTAGGATGTTCAAGAAGATTCGCCTGATTGAATGAATCAAGGTTAAATTTACTCCTAAGTTTCAGGGAGGTTCAGCTATGATCAGTCCCAAGTCGCAAATCTAAGGTTTGTTGTTATTCTATTATCTCATCTCACTTTGTCTAATGTGTCTGAAGGTTGTCTGGAGACAACAGATAGCAGCTGCTGCTTTTAATTTATTTTTGTTTTGTTGTGGGAGCTGAAGCAAACCCGCAGAGACGGCCCCCGGCGGCCTCACCTTGCAGTCGCAGCCCATCTGGTAGCGCTGGCTGAGGCTCTTCTTCTGGGTGGCGCTCAAAGAGTCCCAGGGCATGATGTAATCGCACAGGGTCACGTGCATGCGCCCACCTGCCTCGGCCTTGCCTGGAAGAAGGACAGGGACAGCTGTGGCAGAAAAAGCCGAGACAAAACAACCCCGGACGGATCCGTCCGAATGTCTGCACCGGTCAAACGGCAGATAACGGATTCGTGGGTACGTCTGATACGGTCTGCGTGCGCCTCAGCCTTGTGACGCGCTCGAGTCGGAGCGCTAGTCAAAACAAGCCGATGTTTCCAGCTGAGTTTACATATCTCCCCAGGCCGTGCCCTATCCTCTGTACCACTATCAGTCTGCAGAGCAGCTCTCGACACGTTGACGTCTTTACGGCCTGTAAACTGACTCACATTTCACTGTAACTCTGCCAACGGCTGACCCTTCCACCTAAAGAGGAGACAAATCATTTCAAAATGTGCCCTGCTCAGCACAAAGTTAACTTTTTTTTTTTTTCCTTTCCCACCACTCAAGTCTGTTAGAGGAAACGCTGGCTTCAGCAGTTCCTCCTCTTACAACTCCATGTAATTAGGGGGCAAGAGCTTGTGGGTGCATCTCCGTCTGTGATGGAGAAACCAGAGCATGAATGACATCATGATCCGCTGTGTCTCCTCTACTCACCACAGAGTCTCAATCTGATCCCTGTGCTACTACAATTCACAACACCCTCCTCATTTAGTATGCAGACATCAAAGGGCTCCTCCAGCATTGTGGGAAAATGTGGCTAATTGTGGCTACATAGCCACGTGAGCTGGAAACTGAACACACATAGGTGAAACGCATGATTTTAAAGGTGTTGCAGACTCATTTAGTCTAATCACTTGAGTCATTTTGAAATGCATCTTTGAATGTTTCAGTTTGAACTGGGCCGGCTTCTGCTCAGGCCACTGGAGCTAACCAATCAAAGTGGACTGGGCTTTTCTGGATATATGGCTCAGATTGCAAAGGCATGCTGGATGAGGTAAACCCTCGTTTCAAACAGAGTTACATCAAGTCTTAAGAAAATATGATAAGTCTGTGGAGCTTCCATTTAAATAATGTCATCATAATAGACCACTACAGATGACAACCATGACGTTAAATAATGACATATCAATGGAAGCTAAATTAGTTCCATGTGGCCAGTTTACCTTGTGTTGACTTTTTTTTTTTTTTACCCCTTACTTATTGTTTTTCCTGCATGTGCTTTACAGTTGTTATTTTCTGTTGGTATGAATCAACCCTCTCGGTTTAGACTCAAACCAGCGGTGTTGTAACAATATAAAATAGTTGTTTTAGCTACTCTGAGTTTACTTTATTATGCGGCTGTGAACCAGCCACTCGGGCACGAAATGTTTTGGCAGCACAAGTAGTCCAACAACAGACAGCGTCCCTCCCAGTCTCCACAGGGTTTAGTCAGCAGTGTATCATTATCCGTAATAACATAAACAGTCACGCCTCCAACATGCCCGTCGGTCTTTATCCACTCACATGTCTGCCCGGCTGCACACACCTGCATGTCTCTATCCTATTATCTTTTTTAGTGAATTCCTGACGGGTTCTTATCTGTCTGCCTTTCACTTTGTGAACTTTGAACTTTTAAATAAAACCTAAAACAGACACGCGTCACCTCAGTGTTTCAGTCATTTTCGGGATTGGCTTCTGCTATTAAAGAGTCGTACTAAGAATCACTATTTTGATGAAGAGAAAGTGTGCATGTCTGATTTTACCAACCTGAGATCAAGTACTCCTTCTTGCCGTTGACATCCAGGGTAACACCACAGACAGCGGACACCGGGGCGGTGAAGACGGCCTCGATATCCTGGTTAGGTCCCTTGAACATCTAAAAACAAACAAAGACAACACCAAATGTCGAAAACTGAGTCAAGCCCATCCGCCGAAACACTTTGAGGCCTTTGGAGGACTTTCTCACCTTGATCTGTTTGACATCATATTGAATCCTTTTGATGGGGTTCCCGTAGATATCATTCCCAGAATTCACCTCTCTCTCTCCCACCACCTTTGCCCGAATCACTGGTAAAAAAGCACAAAAGCATTTTGTCAGATCAAAGACATTTATACTAATAATTTATACTAATAAATACTTTATAATCATCATTAGTATAAAAATTTATGACAGATTATTTGTTCCAATTCATCATTGTCAAGAGCCCTGATTTCTCTCCATCAAAAGCCAAAAAGCACGGAACACAAAGATGATAAATGAAATTGCTGCCGATAAAAAAAATTCCACCATGCCGCGCGGTTTATGGCACCAACATGTGACCACGCGGGATGGTACCCTACAACATCTCATTCTGAAACCAAACGTCTGTGGCCAAACTGAGGATGCACATCATGTCGGAGATGTTTAGCGCTCACCTCTGAGGCCATTCCATGCGGGCTGCCTCACACTGTTTTAATGCACTTTGAGGGTTTCCGAGTGTGAATAATGATGTTTTCATGGTACATCAAAGCTGCGGGAAAGTACCTCCAACATGGCAAATCTAACGGAGCTGAGGAGCGGACCAAGTCAAGGGTTTTCGCTAACCTCTCAAAACCGGCCTCTCGGAATTGAACTGTAGTACCTCAGTTATAAACAAAAGTATGTCAATTATATGTAACATATATTTTATACTTAAAAACAAGCTTGCCTTCACATTTGGGGGCGGAAAAGAGATTTTTGTTTTCAAATGAGCTGTCTGGGATCACGTTGCTTCTACGTTGAACATAACCTGCAAACCACATTGCTAAAACCTAAAGAGATCTACTCTCTTTGCAAAGACAATCGGTATCTGACAAAGTACGCCCCCGTACTTGATCTGTCAGCGTCAGGTGGAGCTACCGCCTCTTACATGGCTGCCAACCGTCAAGTTATTTCCACACGCTCTGCCGCCTCCTGTCCTCGTCTTATATGCAAATACATGATCGATTACACTCTGTATCTAAAAAAGCCAGCTTGTGCGGGACTTAACCATATTCCCAATGGATCCACTCCATCTGAATCAGGTGTGCTGAAGCAGGGGAAACATCTGCTGCTCTTGAGGACTGGAGTTTGACATCTCTGCCCTAAATCCTTACCTAAACTCCTGATTTTCCATCACAGAATAATAACAGAAGCCAAACAACCGTCACAAACTATCTAAAGTCTGGCGCACACCACAACAATTAGCTTTGGTATCAACAAGTAGCTCAGTGAGTGAAAACCCAGTCGGAGGTTTCATAAGTTTCAGATAGACAGATGGACTTGGCTCGCAGAAAAAAACCATCAAAACACAACCAGGAAACCGTCATAGTTTGAGAATTAAGGATTAAGAATGCGACTTGAAAGCCGCTATACAGGAAATAACTTGGTATAAGGTGTGTATAAAGAGTTTTAATGGCCTGACTGACATCAAGCTTCAGCTATGCTTAGGGCATTTATTCAGAATGGAAAATATGAGCAATACAGAGGGGACGCATAAAAAAAGAAAGCAGGAACAGCAGACAAGCACACACACTGATAAACACACACACACACACAAGCAGCCGCTGCTGCTCTAACACCCTTGGGTTTGGTTTATGGCTTGGAGCAGACACAAATATGGGGGTTCAGAGTTCCCAGAGTTAATAACTCCTCTTGTTCTCCAGCTTCTTCTTTTTTTGCACTTGTCATGAAGACACAAGATTTATGCTAATCTGCAGGACTGAATAAGATCCGACTGCCGATCAAGAACGGGTTGAAAAAAACGTTTACAATTACATAAAACACAAATTCGTCCATTTTAAGGAGCCTGGGGTAAATGAGAGGTATCTAAAAACATTTCTTGCAGGTGCAATTTAATGGGATAGAAAAGGTGACATCACTAGAATTTGTTGGTTCCGATATGCAAGTCTTGGACCTTTTCAAATCAGGGACTGAAGGCCCCCGTACTCAGAGAGATGGAGCTTATCACAAGCAAGCTCTTGGTTCAGATGCCTATGCAAATGTGCAGCTGCAGCGGCCAGGGTACACACATAGACACGTCCACAGCGGTATACCTGGCGGCTGCTCTCTCCTGCATTCCTCCCAGTTTTTTCCGCTCTCATTTCCTGAGCTCAATCTGAGCCGCCAAACTAATGAACAAAGAACCAGCAGCGGGACGTAGCACCGAGAGGAAATTACCCTGTTATTCACAATAGATTGCTACTCTGGGAGCTTATCTGTCTACCTCTGTTCTGCAGACATGCTCCCCCCCCCCCCCCCCACACACACACACACACACACTTGAATAAGAGCGGATCATCCTGTGCAGTCTAAACAGCGTGGCGTGCAGGCGGCAGACGGCACAGCGGGATGCTTAAACAGCATGGCCGCCCGGGGCCCTGCCGGCGGTCGGGTTTCGCCGCCGGCCGGTCCCCAACTCGTCTGATCAGCAGCTAGGAGCCCCCCCCCCCCAGCCCCCCACAAACCACCAGCTGACCCACATTTCTACTGCTCCCCTACGCTCCCCACCAGCATGACGTTTAATGACTTCTGCACGCATATCAGTCGCACTACGCAATGTTTTCCATGCAAACCCCATGCGAACGCGCACACACCACATCCTAAGCGCCCCCCCCCCACCCCGTTCAGCCCACATCATGAGGACCCAGTCCTTTCTTCATGCTCCAGCAGCCACAAAATCATCCCCTCACTTTGGCGGCGTGGTTTTGTTCAGCTCCAGACGTATGTGGGCCTCCGGTTTAACCTGTCATTTGAACGGAGACTAAAAACCGCCCTCCAACACAAGTTAGTCAGCTTTTGGAACCTCTGGCAACATCTGTACGAGAGCCTGAAGCTCTGGTTTTCCCAGTAAGGGCTCTGTGATGGTTAATGGATGAAATGACTGCTTCTGAAGCATCGTATCAACAACCGCCACTGGCTTTTTAAGCACACCTGTTCATTTGGTTTCTGGACATTTGCTTCACTTATGACCTATTTTGTTATCAACACTTAATCTTCCTGTTACTTTAATTACTGAGGAATGATATTTTTTAAACATGAACACTAACTGTTATCAGAAAAGGAATAAAAGTGGCAACTCAACTTGTTTTTGGTAATTTGGTGTGGTTATTTTGAATATCTCAACATGTCGCAGTTCACTTTTAATGGTTTCACAGCGTACAAGATTTTTTTTAAATCAAAATTTTCAAACATCTCATTTTGTACGAGTGATCCCTCCTCACGCCCAGTGTCAGCTGAGGTAGGCTTCAGCCCCCCTGCGTCCCTAGCAGGAATAAGTGGTGTACACACTGGATGGAAGGACCATCTATAGCTGTCATTGGACAAAAAGCATGGTAACAAATTGGGAAGCCCGTTTTATGAGTCCGGATTTACTGTAACCAAAATGGACAGAACATCACTCTAATTTGACAAACTTTAAATTTGGTTAAACATACTACTGACCTGTGGTCAAATCAAAGTCAAATAACTCCTCTCAGGTCTTTTTTTGTATCTCCACCAGAAACTGGGAAGTGTTGGGACCTGCGGTGCTTTTGGTTTCAGGGCTGCTGGTTTGAAATGGGACTGTTTACACACGCTTACAAAATCATAAACTAATATAGTGAAGATTTGCTGGCGGGAATAAACTGAAAATGTTTAATGTTTTCAGGCATCAGTGGAGCCTTTTGAAGCCTTCTTGTTTCCTAAAGGCTGAAACGCTTTGGTTTACACAGTCAACATTTGTCCATCATTGCTTCCTCTTTTTTCTTGATTAATGGAAATTGCTTCACACAACTTAAGGCCAGGGCATGCTAAGCATGGAGCAACATTTATTAAAAGACTCCAACTGTTTTCTATCAAACCGCCACCAGCCCAAAAGTTATTTCTTGATAATATCCCATTTTTTCCAACTAAATAACTCAATGTAGCCGTAAACTTTAGAATAATGGATCACGAGACTAACAATTTGTTTGTGTGTTAAAGTTCATGATAGTTTTTTCATCATTTGATCAGAATCAGGATTTCAGCTCATTTTAAATTTGGGCAGTGGGCTGATAAAGGCTGACACACTGGACGTTGCACGGCGTTGACAACATCTACTTCCTTAAATCTTTCTGTGTACGACCGCTGTCCGTTTCCTGCCCGCCGCTGCAGACAGCACCGTGACTCGTCCAGCGGCCCGCCACCAGGCCCAGGGGCAGTGGAGTGGGCAGGGCAGCGGGGAAGTTCCCCTCTGTGGCCCACAGAGTGATTTTTGAAAAGAGGATGTTTGTCTGTGCCTGTGTGATTGCGGGGTGGGTGGATGACACTGTGTTACTCTTGTGGGATGTGGTCTGACATGAAGCATCGATGTATAAAAAACAGAAGATGACACACACACACACATGTCCATTAGGTCATCTGGAAGAATGGGAGTCCATCCCACCAAAACAAATCTCAATTGTCTGACCACAACTCGACTTTGTTATGGACTATGAGCCCATTTCATTCACTTTTCTTGTTTGGCTCTTTACATCTAAGCCTCTTCTACCCACCTATTCTCCTGCTCTACATCACGTGGATGCTTCTGTTTGCAGATTTTGGTTGTCAGATGTGGTTTTATGCTCTGACCCTACAATCATGACCCAGCAGTGACACTGGCCATCATCGCTGTTGAGCGGTCAGCACCACAATTGACATGCGATTTCCCGTCTGCAAGGGCAGAAAAACCTTTCCTGACTCATGCGCCCTTTAAAAACAACTTGAGTACACCTATACACCTCTCCCTTGAGACATCCTGTCTCTAATAGCTGCCAGCTCAGCGACCGACTGACTCACATCTGAAAACGGATTCTTTTTTTTTTTTAAACAAAACTAAATGATGCACGCACTTGTACAAACGTGTGCGTTTGATTAGAGCCAGAAGCAGGAAGAAAAGCTGGAGTCCCAGTGGTGTGGTCTTTGATTCCCCCCCCCGTCCCCATTCTCGAGAATGCCATGCATATTTTGACTTGCACTGCTGCTTTTATGGCTTTTCCCCTAAAACACACCCTGGACTGACAGCCAGATGTCTTCCGTGGCCATTGCGCGAGCCCTCCGCGCATGGCGGCGAGCCCTCAGTCGTCTATTTGGGTTGTGAAAGTGTGCGCAAAGGGTGTGTGTCCCTGCGCTGCATCGGAGCAAAGTTTGGGAAAACCCCAGAAACATTCCGATAATTCCACCCCTGCACCACCTCCAGCAGGAAAGAAAGTGGACAGGAATGGAATTTTCTTCTCTTTTTTTTTTTTCGTAAAAAGGGAGGAAAGCTTGTGGTGTGACATATTTGGCGGTTGAGATTCAACCCCCTCCTCTCTATACTCTCTCCATCCCTTGTCCCTTCTCCTCTCTGGTGCCACGTTGCCCAGCAGAAGCCAGGCGACGCGGCTTTGTCCCTGAGCTGAGGAGGCCGGACCTCGAGCTCTGCATGCAGTGATGGTCCCGGACTTCCTCCAGCGTTTTAGACAGACTCACACAGTGTGCATAGACAACACAAATTAAATACAGCCCAAGAAAAAAAAAGAAAAAAAAACATGCGACACAAACTCATCCATAAGTGTCATACATGGAACCGGAACTCCTCTCCTGGGGGTTCATTTATATCAAGTTTACGCTTCTTGAAAATGGAACGTGCTTGGGTTTGTGTTTATCCCAGTCTGACATGTCCTCTTTATCATTTGTGCTTCCCAAAAAGTCGTTTCTGAAAGTCTCAGGATGCCAAAATCTCAAATTATGACAATGGGGGATCTGCAGCCTGAATGCATGGCAAACTGTCTTATCCATGGCCTTGTGGAGTAATAACCCCCCCCCCCCCTCCCCTTCAACAAACAAACACACACATGCATATGCATACACACGCACATACACACACGGTCTGGCTTTCCAGTGGTTTCCACAGCCTCTGTGAGCCCTTTTATCCGCTACAGGAGGGAGGAGGGGGGGGGGGGGCAGCTTCCGTCATCAGCTGCAAACGGGAGCCTGCTGCTGCTGCGACACGGGCCGAGTAAACAACAACAACAACAACAACAACAACAACAACAAGGGACTCACCTACGTCGGCGTTGCAGAACGCCTGTTGCGGGTGCACCGGGGCGCAGCTGCACGCCTCCGCGAGCTCCTCCGCGCGCCACAGCAGCAGCGGCAGCGCGAGCGTGCAAAGGATGCCGTTAAAGGTGAACGGCATTTTGGGTGGACGCTTATGCAACGGGCTTTTTCAGCCTTCCCCAGCTCCTGGTTTCGTGCTACGCAGATGCGTCGCGGCGCAGATCCAGCGGCGTCCGGCGTCCTTTTTCCTGCTCCGTCTATCTTCCTCCGCGAGGTGGTCGGACGTCAACAGCGGTCTCCGGGGGACCAAAAAAGGTGTGATGGGGACTCAGCCTGAGACGTCCCAATGGCCGATGTCTGTAAACGTGTGTCTGTCTGTCTGTCTGTCTGTCTGACCGGACTGGTTTTTGATTTCTGGGATCGAGGAGGTTTATAAAGCTGCGCGACTCCTCCCCCCCGACGTGCGCCGTGTGGCCGCCAGAGGGCGCTGTGCGTCCTCACCTGGAGGCCAAAAGGTCCCCGAGGCAGGAAAAAAAAATAGATCTGAATAAATCTAAATTATTAGCACAAGAGAGCGAGCCAGTAAAACGTGTCCGTGCCAATTGAATAATAATAATAATGCATTTCATTCTTAGGTGCCTTCCTCAAGCTTCACTCAAGGACACCGTACAGAGAGACACCAACATGCATTAAAAGAAACAACAATAAAATCAATAAAATAGTCATAGGCAATGGCAATATCAAAAAGAATAAGCTCAGATTTTTACCTATTGAAAAGACAATACAAATGTTATTGTAAATAATCCATTTTGCCTGCTGAAGGTATCTGCAAATCAATGATTGATTATATCTTGTTTGGATATTGTATTTGAGAAAACAAGCAGTAGTTCCTATAGCCTATCGTCTCAGAATCTTTCAAAGTGGCCTTGATCTGAAGTCATTAACATATTTCTTTGGTGCTGCTTTCAAACTGCTTCATCAGCGTCTTTGTAACTGACCACTCAGAGGAACGTCCCCAAAAAAAGTCATCTGAGTCATTACAGCAATAAAAATGCATCAAAGTCGAAGAAAGGAATTAGTGTTGTATCAATATTTAACAGGTAACTTAGCATTTTGAAAATATTCAATAGTAGGCCCTTTGTTACCACTGACCGACCCTAAAAACATTTACTTTTAAATCATTATTTTAGTCACTGCCAGTTTTTAAGACAGACAACGCTGCACCGTTTTCTTCACCACTGAAGTGACGGAAAGAGATTGCCCAAAAAAGTGATGCAGTTCAGTCTGCTGTGTCTAAGAAAAGAGGAAGCTGAAGTGTTTGGCCCTAAAAGAATTGAGGAAACTGTAGAAGTGGAAGACAAAAGAAGGAATAGCCTATCTCAAAAAGTATCCACAGAACCCCCTGCAACTGGATTCAGGCAGGGCCGAATCCATCCATCCATCCATCCATCCATCCATCCATCCATTCATCCATCCATCCATCCATTTTCTCTGCTGCTTATTGCAAACGGGGTCGCAGGAGGGCTTGCAGGGATGAATCTGTTCCTCATGATTCTTGTAGTCCACGATAGCTGTTTTTTTTTTCTCTGTTTTTCCTCTTATTGTTCTGAATGTACGTAAATCTAATCAGACCACTCTGATGGGGGAGGAATCATAAGCCTTTTATCCACACTCACTTGTTGTGCAAATGTTGCTGGATAAAGAGCATTTTATGGTATTTTTCACCATCCTCACACACCTCGTTACAGATTTGAATTGTTTTATTCTACTGTATGTTGAGTTCAGTGTACAAATTGAAAAGATCCAGCCAGAAAATGCCTCTTTCTGGCAGTAGAGGGCAGTAGCCTCCACCACACTCCGTGACTGGACATTTTACAGATAAGCAAGAAAAAACACAGAGCCAAAGGTCCAGCTGTGCCGCTGCCCCAGTTAAAGGCTGACGGAGCATTTCCAACTGAGAGCCGATGAGAGTAACTACACACGAGTTACATCGTGAAAAGATGACCAGACAGACTGGACCAGACAAAGCAACGCACTGTTCCTGAGAAGAGATCATTTGGTTTTTTGGACATGATCACAGAGCGTCTCTAATGTTTTACACTAAGAATTCATGAAAAAGAAAAAAGCACAGCCAGAACTAAATGACATCAGCTGATCAAAAGCTCTTAAAAGGTAATAAGTGGAAAAGAATTAAGAAAACTAGCAATTTCTCCTGACTAATAAAAAAATGAAGAAGGCCTCCATAAACACATGTGTGTCCGGTCTTGAGTGCCACGTAGAAAACGCTACGCAGGCTTCTTGGCCTCAGAGGCCTTTGTTGAAGTAAACCTTTTGTATGCTGTCTCCATACTGAGACATGATGGAGTCTCTCAGCTCGGGCTCCAGCTTTGACACAGCCAAGGAGCTGCAGAAGAAAGGAGGCATGAAAGGAGCAGAATGAATGGAAACAGCCACAGAGAACACTTTTTAACTATGCAAACATGAAATTCTAATCATTAAATAAAAGGAACAGAGCTATATTAAATACAGTGTTGTGCAATCATATGTCCCTCATCAGTAGAATGATTATTTTATTAACAGGATCCAGCTTTAAAAAGCAAAAGAATCAACAGAATCACTAAAAAGAAATTATGAGATTTAATGTTCAGTTTTCAGTAAAAATCACTTAAATGAGTGTATCCTCCTAAACTAGATGGAATAACATGTTTAAATGTGGAGATGCTATTGTGTCAGCGTTGCATTGTTTGTTTAACCTTGGAGGTTTTTATTAAGAATGAAGAACAATGCGACTCCTGTGTCTGTCTTCAGCTCTGCCTTATCTGTGCCATTTGTTTACTTCCTGAGTCAAGTTACTGTCAGGGTTGAGTTTCAAGAGCGTGTGGCGGCCTGCAGAGAGCCGGCACAAACATGACCAAAAGATGGACCATGAGGATAAAAGAAGATTTGAAAAATTAAACCAACAAAAGCTGATCCCAGCATGAGTCCCGGTTTAATCTGGAATTTAATTTCACATTTTTCTGACATTTCATGGCTAATCAGGGTTGGATATTCAGATTTTTTATTATTTTTAAAGGAAATTAAGGACTCAAAGGATGTTTAAGGATCTTGTAGAGTTTTCAAATGAAAAAAGGTCCATTTTATTTAATATTTTAGTGGAAACTATAAGAAACCTGTAGAGCTGAGCACAGTCTCATTGTCTTCATCCTGCTACTTATGTCATTTAATACATCAGTCTGCTTTTTTTTTTGGCTAAATAGATTAAATTAAAGTGACAGAACCAACTGACTTTTCATTCAATGGCTAATATTCATTTGGTCTGTCTGAACATGTGCGACCCAATCGTGTGCACGACGGAGTGACAGAGCCTCCGCAGTCTTAACTCTCTTTATGTGTCAGAAGGTGAAAGCACAGAAACAGTTTTATTACCATCTCTGAGGGAACAGCGAGCACGCAGCAGGTACCATGAAGATCAAACTTTAATAAAAGAAGAATAAGAACAAAAGTTACCAATAACAAACTGTGGAAAACATTAAAACTCCTCTGACCCTGTAACCCTCTGTACTTACAACACTCCCACCATCATTACTTGAATTGGTCCATGGAGAAACGTGATTCTCTGTGAACACACACAGGAAGTATTGAGGACGGATGAACACATTTTTGTGACTTTAGCTGCAGAACATTGATCAAAAAAAGCCTAACCTTCATGAACTTGTATTTTTCCAGTCGTTGCATGATTATTGGAAGGATAACTGAGAGAAGAAGAGGCACACATTAAAGGCTCATGCGTATATTAATGTGACATTTTTCATTCCAGTAACATTTATGCGTACTCATTCCTGGAGCGGCCATGGTGATCCGAGAGACCACCACCTGAGTGATGCCTTTCACAGCAGCTTTCTGCAGAAGAGTTACAAAAATGCTTTAATGGAAATACTTTAAACTAAACCAAAAATGAGAAAACCTTCAAATAAGATCAGTGCAGCACACACTATATGCTCCTGTCCCCCAGCTGCAAAGTAAGCTTTCTTTTTCCATTTAATAGACACTTGGAAATCAAGAATTATTCTTTTTTTATTAGATTGAATAAATCAAATAAGAATTTTCTTGTTCATAACCGGAGAATAGTTTCTGATAGAAAAATAGATCTGTCCCGTTATGGTGTCAGCTTTAACACCAGTTTTGACAGAAACCCAAAACTGGAGTGTGACGTGCGGAGCACCGACCTTAGAGTGGCCCAGTTTGTTGCCGTTTTCATCTGTCACAGCAATCCCGTTCAAGATTTCCCTGAACAAAGCAAAAGAAAACAGAGAAAAATAAGCAGCTTTGCTTTATATCCACAGGAAACTGGTGGATTCCGTTTTATACAACAGCCTAGGAGCTTCAGGACTTAAAACATAATTATTTTTTTCTACCCCAAAATTCTTTAAATCAAGTATTTCCAAGACTGGAATAAAAAGTCATGATTATTCAGGATGAAGTGCTTGTTTTCTAAAGCTACATAATGACAAAAACATTATGAATTGGTGGAAAGTGCAGGGGCTGATTTGGGTCTCCTGCAGTGCATGCAGATTGGTTCTACATTTGATTCTGATAATAAAGGTCAGAACAACCTGTCCTGCTCAGAGGTGTACCTCATTTACCTTTATTCTAACAGCTGTAGCTGGAAAGCTCCACACAGCAGCTCACTAACGACACACAGCATAAAATGCTCAAAAGAAATCACAATTTGTCATTATGTGATATTATCTAAAAAATATTTGGATTATTTGCAATTCTCCTGAAAAAACTCAAATATCAACCGTGAGACGTTTTATTATTCTAAGTCTCCTTCGCTCTGTGGGACAGCAGCCAGACTCTTCTACTATAAAGCCATGTTGGTGAATAAGATGCTGTTTGTGGTTTGACTTTGTCCTGCTGAAATACGAAAGACCACCACGGAGAAAGAAATAATTTGTCTGTGAAATGATGTTGCCCTAAATTCTGAATATAGCATTCAGCATTAATCCGCATTTGTGAATGTTCATGGTCGATGATTTCTGGAGGTGTTCCTGAGCAAAAGCAGAGTCTCTGGTGACAGAAGCGGGACTGTTTTTACAGTGCAGCCCGAGGGGTACTTTGTCTAAACACCGTCCCTCAGGATCTGTCCCAGGAAATACGACAGCGTCAACGTTTCTGCTCCGGAGTTACTGTGATTTCAGCTTACAGGCTGTAAATTGAGCACACTTTGCCCGTGCGTATGTTTTGGGGGGGTAACACAGAGGAGGACTCACTGCTGCCTCATCATGGGAATGTTAACACAGTTAGCTGCTGCCACAGCTACAAAAGGCACCCAGCGGGCCACCAGAGGTGGAGCTTTCTGCAGGAGAGAGGGAAGAGAAACCGGCATAATCATCAGAAAATGACAGTTAAATCATCACCCTAGAAAGGAGATAACAAATTCTTTCCTTTGCTTAAGTACTCTGACCAAATACTGTCTTGGTACTGTCCACATACTTCTTGTGTGTGTTTGTTATCATGGCACAGGACACATCTGAGTGACTGTTTCACATTATCCAGATAAGTTACCTTTGTGTAGAGGTTAAGTCCAACGGCTGTTGCTAAAGCTGTGCTGGTTGCTGTGACGTAGGCCACTCCAATCTGCCTGAGAGACACCACAGAGACAACAGCCTCAACTCTGGGTGTCAACGGTTACCTCAAGAATCACAGTTATGGAAACATTAGCCTCTGCCATAACGTCAAGTTCGCTTTTAACCCTTCATATTTAGCTATTTACAATGAGTTCCTACTAGCAACCAAAAATCTATATTTCTTTAGCTAATATTATACCACTAATATTTTGTTCATTACTTGCATTGACACATCTAAACTATGATATCACAGCTCTGATTGGTATTCCCTAGTTTTTTCCCCAGTTTAAAACTGTGATTCCAGTTTCAGTGAATGCATTAAAACTGATCTGAACCAAACTGAACTGGCTGAAGAAGGGATCAGATAAAAACCGAGGCCGCCCGGTTTGTATCTGATTCTGTTGTGAAATCACAGGAGACACTCGGTTCAGGTTGCGGTGCGATGGCTGGAAATTGTCATTTCAGCATCTGGTTTCAATCCACCTTCAAGTTGCCCTGATTAGCGAAAGTAAAGTCCATTTATGTTTAGCTGCTTTTTATGGAATACCAAACAAGAGATGTGGACTTTGGCCAACAGGATATTACATATTACCTCAATCTCCTCTGGAGGTTTTTTTTTTTTTACATTTGCAGTGACAGATATACAGAGGGTCAAACGGGATGTTTTACTTTGGGGTGATGGGGGAGGCAGCGTTGCGGTTGGTGTAGTTGACCAGAGCGTTGAAGGACTGATTGACCCACTGCCAGAACACCACGGCAGGAACCGTTCTAAAAAAGGGACGGGGGAGAAACTGAAGGCGTGAAACAAGAGAGGAGGGCTAAGGTTCGGCTCGTCCGTCCCGTTCCTGGCTACCTGTAGAACTGCAGCATGAAACCGGTGATGGCCATGCCCCCGGGGACCTGGAATGACATGCGGCCGATGAGGTTCATGCGGTCCCCGGTGTCCGGGTGGAAGGCGGAGTCGTACAGCTTCTTTGCGTAGTGAAGCTGCTCCTCCGTGGTGCCCGGGGGGGCGGATCCTGCTCTGCGTGGACCCCGTAAAGACTAAAGTCAGCCCACCTTGAGGGGCTCGTTGTTCTCTCTCGGCACACCGGTGCTTACCTCCAGCTCTCCACCAGAACTTTGGCTTCGTCCAGCCGCGAGTCGGGTAGGACTGCTGTTCGGCAGTCGGTGATGTTGAAGAAGTGTTTCAGTCGGCCCATGAAGGTGGACTGGTCCCATCGTGGCGCATCAATGTCAAACGAGCTTAGGGCCATCGTGTTTGCTGACGAGGCGTTTAACACATTCAAACGTCACGGCGCAGCAGCGTCAAACCTGGACACACGCACACAGAATAATGCAGCCATATGAACGTCTTCTGAATGATTAAAACCTAAACATGGAGATTTTAAAAGAGGCTTTCATTTTGGGACACAAAAATAAAATTGGAAGTAGTTTATGGAGGAGTAGTTCATGTCTCAGTTTGGATTAATTGACACTTCCTGCATTGAAAAGTGATATTTAGCCCTTCTGTCTTTTCTTCTATTCCATGTGACCAAATATCTTTGCAATGACATGACTATGAAAATATTAAGCTTAAACAGAAGCTCATACCCCTTCAAAATGTTTGTTCATTGTGTTAAATATGAGCAATACAAGCAAAAATAGTAAATTATTCATTAAAAAAATAAATAGTTTGGATGCGACAGCAAGACATTAATTGTGGTGTTTTTTAAAAACATTTTTGCTGCTTAGAGCTGAAAGGAAAAGTAACCATGTTTACATCAAATGCTGATGACCGTCCCAGCACTGTGTGGTCTGCCTGATTCGTCCACACCTCACTGAGATGCGCTCTCTCTCAACATCACACAGGGTTGTGCTTGTACAGCCCCGGTTCTTAACAGTTAACCACCCAGGTTGCGGAAACTGCTGCTTTCCAAATTGCACTCACATCCCTGAACTAACACAAACGCTACATTCCTCCCCCCAACATCCACAAGACCCCAATTTCCACCAGAAGTCTTTGACCGCCTCCTGGTAAATGGTTCTGCAGGTAGTCATTTTGGGTTTCCAAAGCTGCAGCGTTGTGCTTCATATTATCCAATCAGAGAAGTTAAAATGCTGCCGGCCGAAGCGCAGCCTCCCCTCTGGACTCTACAGCGTCCATTATCACATTACTATAAGTATTCGCTGTGAGTTTTAGATGAAAAGTAAATACAGGACACAGGAGGGGAGAGGGGGTATCAGCTCTCTGAAGGTTCAGTCAGGCTGGAACTGGATTGTTGCTTGTTTGTGTAGAAAGTAGGTTAAAGGCCTGCAGACGTGGGTGGGGAACACAAAACATGGGCCGAAAATCATCATGGTTCTAAATGTTGAAAAAAACGTATAAAGCTGCAAATGTTGGAGTTTCTAGCAGTTTCAGTTTGTTTTACAACATCCAAAATTTACTCAACTGAGAAAGCAGCTAATTCTAATCATTTTCACTTCTATTTTGTTGGGCACAAAACAGCAACTGAGACTGTAATCAATAACTGAGGGAATGATGTGTGAATGGATGCAGAAATCATCACAACAGAACGAAAATACTGAGGTGATGAAAGGAAAAATTACGAGTTTCCACCATCTTTTATGAGAACAAGCTTAATACTTAAATGCACGTTGTATATATTCAACAGCATAAGTGAATATTTAAGGGAAAAAGCAAAAAAGTAAAAGGTTTTAATTTTGGCGAATTATTTCAACAAAAGACTTCAATGTTAGCAAAGCTATTCCATTTATAGCATTACAGCAACAAATAATTAACAAAGATTTTTATCTTTCAATCAAATACTATGAGAATCATTTGCTATCCCATTACAATATAAATGGTTCTGATTATTTAGAAATGAATCGCCATTTTAATCTTCTATTTCTTCCTACCATCGCCAAGTGCTTGCATAGTTACCAGTTAGTATGTTAGAATCCAAATCAGAGTAAGCTGCACCCATTTAAAGAGCATGAAAACATGGATTGAAATATAAAAGTAATGGTAAAACTAAGCATATAAAAGACCAAAAAAATTATAGCAAGTAGTGCCAGGTGAACTGTAAAATTGTGAGATATATAAATACCTTAAATGGCGTTTTGTTTTAAATCAGGACAAAATCAAGCACTTAAATATGTATTTTTCTCAATTATTTTGAATCTATGTTTTTCAAAGAAGAGATGTTGATCTCTCCTTTGGTGTGACAGGTATGCTTTTTTTTTTTAGGATGCTGAATAGAGATCTTCCATAGAATTTGGATTTGGATGTGCCTGAAAATAAATAAAATCGTGACTGATAACGTAATTTACAGCCACTGATATAAGCGCCGCTTTTTCAGGTCAAGCCTGACAAACTGGATGTGCAGGCCAGGGCACGTCCTCTCGGCACATCTGCAGAAGTTAACGCTCAACAGCTGGAAGCTCGTGCAAAGTTAGCTCGATTACAGTCACAAGTTCGAAAAAGCCAGAAAACGCGTTCGTTTTGTCGTCTTCGTGTGAGAAGTGCACCGAGGCTGAAACTGTGAAAACACGTTAGACGGGGGTGACGCAACCCCCCAGCTCGAGTTACCGGCTCGCTGTGACATCTGCAAGCGGCGGGACACACGAGAAACCACAGCCACGACACACCGGCTGCCACCGACACCGACAAAAACAGGAAGCATACCTTTAAGTTCCCAAAGAGCCACGTAGAGCGAACCTGTCAGGTACTCAGAACTGCTCGTGCATGGAGCATGTAGTAAGAAAAACTTGCACGTGGCAATTCGTCCTCCAATCAAAAAGTAGGGCAGCTCCCCACGTGAAAACCGGTGAAAACCAAACCTGACACGTTATTTTATGATGGACTGAAAAAGAAGCACACCTGGTGGATGCTCGACTTTGCAGCTTAAGTTAAAAAAATAAAAAGACAGAAGCCAGGCTGTTGCTGTGTTAGCTACTTACCTCAGTGGTGGATTTGTCCAAAGCTTAGCTTCCTGTTCGGGATAAACTAGTTACCAATTAGTAACTGAAACTTATAACACGTATCAACATTTGTTGTCCACACAGTCACGTAAAATTGTGTTTGTTCTCCTTCGTTTATTAAAAATTGAGCAGGTAGCTAACTAGAGTCGTCCTCCATACTTAGGGTTGGTGCTACGTTCTAGGGAAATTGTGTAAAACACTATTAGTTAACAGTGAATAGTCGGCAAAGCCTTTCACTTCAGCCCCTGACTAAACAGGTCGAGTCAGGGCACCTCAGTGACGTGCATACAGAAACGAGACACTTAATTACCAAACATTTCCTTTTTTTTATTTAAAAGAGAAAATACGTAAACACAGAGACAAGATGGCAGAAGCAAAGGATTGTACTTGAAATTAAACGCAATACAGACAATGCAAGACGATCAAAGTTTGACATATTGAAAAAACAACCAAATGCCCAGAACAAAAAAAAAAGCATGGCCACAACAACATCTGAAAATACTTTATAATTAGATCAATTATTGACTAAAAGACTGAGACAAGAGGAATCATAAAGTAAAAACAAAAAAAGTGATGGGTGAGAAAGAAAACAGAACACGTGTAAAATTACAATAACATTATGCTAAATAGTATTAGAGGGTAAAGCATCAAACACAAACATGCATTGTTTCGGTATTATTTGTAGTTGTTTTGTCGCTATGTGAGTCTGGGTTCTCCATAACTTTGTTGTGTCAAAAAAAGAAACAAAAGTCGAATATGTGTGCGTCAGTACTCTTGAAAGTGGAGAAATACTTATTTTCACCAGTGTAACTTGAAAGCAGCATTAGTCGAAGTTTTACGCAGACTGTGCGTCTGACGTCACTCCCCTTAGTAACCCTCGGCGGCGTCTCCAGGAGAGAAGGCAACAAGATGGTGAGTCTAATTTATCCTTATAATTAGCCATTAAGTGTACAGACAAAGCGTTACATTTGCGGATGTTCGCTTTTACTTGGCCCTTCTTGTGTTCAGATATCATTAACAAGTCCAACTTTCGGCATCTTGAGGAAAAAACGCGCTCAGCATGAAAAGCTGCCTTGTTGCTTCGTCCAGTTATCAGGGGAGATTAGCTTAGCATGTTAGCTCAGTGTAGCTCCCGTGTGCGCACCGTTTACTGGCCTTGCACGCGAGCAGCTGGCCAAAAAAGCTCGAGAATACCTAAGAAACTGATACTACAGGCCTCTCGCCGGTCCTGCGTCAGTGCCGATAGGCGTGCGCGTGATCATCATCCAAATCCACAGAGTGGTCCACGAATGCTCTGGGATGGCCTGTTGGTGAGGAATCCAGGTGGATGAGGGAGAAAATGGGCTTGTGTGATGGTGTTTAGGTGAAACAGTGCTCCTCCTGTCTCCCTGGCCATGAGGAGATTAAGAAACAACGGGCTCTTGGACACAGATTTGTGAAAGGGCCCCGCTGAGACTAATGGCACTCAGGCTGAAGGAGCCTGACAGGACCTGTGTTTGTCCTGTGTCCCCAACTGACTTTCTCGATGCTACTTTGTATAATTACACATGTTTTGTGGTTATTTAGTGCGGTTGTTAATATAGAAAGTATCATAGAATGTATCATTGGTATTGGGCTTCTGGTATCTTTTTTGATTTTTGATTTTGTAACATTTTTGTCAGTTTGTGAAACTTGTGTTGAATTTTTTGTTATTCGGTGCTTTCCTCTCCTCTTTTTTTTCTGTCTCAGCATGTGTGTCAGAGACAGATTTAATTTTTAAGGCCCAGGAACAAATGTCATCAAGCCCAGATTTTTTTTAAACGTGTGTGTGTGTTCTCCTTCTCTTTGCTCGTTTCAGGGATTACTGTCCATCCTTCGTAAGCTAAAAAGCACACCAGACCAGGAGGTTAGAATACTGCTGCTGGGTCTGGACAACGGCGGGAAAACCACTTTGCTCAAACAGCTGGCTTCTGAGGACATTAGCCACATCACCCCCACACAAGTAAAACACAGGCTCATCACCGACATTGTTTTGGTGAAGTTGATTTTTATGCATAGTCCTGACCAGCCTGATTTTTCCTGATTTCTACAGGGTTTCAACATTAAAAGCGTCCAGTCTCAGGGGTTTAAACTGAACGTTTGGGACATTGGAGGTCAGAGGAAGATCAGGCCTTACTGGAGAAACTACTTTGAAAACACAGATGTGTTGGTGAGGAATTTGTTTTTACATCAGGTCTCGGTTTTGATCGATTAGTGTCGTATTAATCTGCCGCAAAAGATAATAAGGAAAGCATTTTGTTTCAGATTTACGTCATTGACAGTGCTGACAGAAAGAGGTTTGAGGAAACGGGTCAGGTATGTACACTAAGCTTATCCTATCAGGATGTCACGTCAGTTTAAAAAAAATCTTTTGGTATATTCAATCTAATTCTTGGTAGTTCATTCATAATGTGGTTTGGTGTAGTAGTGTCTCATGCTTTAGAAATCATTACTTTATACTCTGATTACTACCACATGAGATGGAATTTTTTTTGGATAAAGCCATTTTCACATGTGGGTCAGGAATTTATTCAAGACTAACGTTTCTGCCCTTTAGTGGGGTTTGAATTTAAAGGAAATTATGTGTCAAATCTAACAGGAGTAAAACAATGATCCGAAGCTCTGCTTTTTATTCAGTCAGACCACTGGAATCTCCCCTGTTCCTGTCACAGGACGTGTGCGTCTGACCGGCAGATGTGTGCTGCTTTTGCAGGAGCTGGCCGAGCTGCTGGACGAGGAGAAGCTGAGCGGCGTTCCCGTGCTGATCTTCGCAAACAAGCAGGACCTCCTGACAGCAGCTCCCGCCTCGGAGATCGCGGAGGGGCTCAACCTGCACACCATCCGGGATCGCATGTGGCAGATCCAGTCCTGCTCCGCCCTGACCGGCGAGGGCATCCAGGTGAGCGGGGCGCCCTACGGACCTCCTGTCCATCCGGTCGCCTTTGGGGTCCGGGCTCACCATTCTGCACCTTCTTCTTTTCAGGAGGGGATGAACTGGGTCTGCAAGAGCGTCAACTCCAAGAAAAAATAGCTTCGCTTCTAGTCTTCTACTCAGGTGGAGCAGCTTACACAGCCACACACACTGACTACACATCGCACCTCCTGAGCCTTAGTATGATGGGATTTACCTGTGAATGTACACACATTGCTAATCCAACGCAGACTTTTTTAACCCTCCTTCGCATCGCCGATGTTCACTAATCCCAGCTCATCTTCCTGTGTCGGCCTCTACAAAAAAGAGGTGCTTTTGCCTTCGAAGGGAACCCAAAAAAGAAAGCTCCCCTGCTCCTCCACGCCACCATGGCCGCCCCCACCAGCCGCCGTCCCCGCCCACAGCCTCGAGCATTCCCAATAAAACGCTGTTTTGTCACGATGATTCCAAACATTTCCGCCAAGCTTTTCCCCCACGCTGCCCAGAAAACCAAGCCTCCCTCTTCCCCCCCCCTCCCCTCCCTTCCAGTCTCCATCTCATGACCCCCCTTTTGTTTTCGATTTTCTTGTGAACCCATTCCACTATGGCTGTGAGCGCTTTCACTGCTATGGCTCTGTTTGAAGTGAGGTATATTTTTGTAACTGTTTTATTTATGGTGAGGTAGAGTGCTTTCAAACAACTGCTCGTGTGTGTGTGTGCGCATGAGAATCGGTCCAACTCGCCCCAATAAAGAAAAATACTGCTATGTGTTTGATATGTACAAAAAGGAAGTAAAAAGATGATATCAAAAGGTTAAGAGACACTACGTTTTTGATCAACTGTAAATAGTACGGCCCTGTGATCATATGTTACATTATGCACATGTTACAGAATATTGTCACTGCTGTACTTTGTAGTCCATGTTTGCATATCTAATGTGTGCTGGCAGATTTTTAACAGAGGTACTGTATGTTCCAGTGCATTTGTATGTGCTTATTGGGTTAGAAAGGGAATTCAAAGTTTTTCCTTTTGATATTCTTGAATGTAATCTGTCCAGAGAGAAAATCTATGTGAATAAAAAATGTTAAAAGTTTAAAGAGTTTGAAGAAAATGCTTAAATATGTTCCTATCTGCTGGACCATTCACAAACATTTGTGGTTAAGCAACCGTGTGCAACCCAACCAGGTGTTGGCAGCAGCAGCCATAGCTGCACACAACAGCAGACACACCCAGACAACCTGGTTCTCCCAGCAGAGATGCTGCCTGATGGAGTATTACGTTATCTTAATGTTAGATAAATGCAAATACACAATGTCTGAAATGAATTTCATCATTTATCTGGACTGCTAATCTACAGCTGCTGGAGTGGAAAAACACAGATTCTCCAAAAATGAACTAAAAAAGGTAGGTTTTAAGAAAAAAAGTATTTCAAATGAACAACATCTGACTAAACTAAAGTGGATGAACACAGTGGAACTATTTTCTTATTCACTTTTTTTCCTGAGAGGACTTTCAATTCAAACAATGAAGTACTGTGAGAAAAAATGTATTCCCTTCTGTTGGGTTGTTTCTAATTTAGGTCATTTCACACTTCAAGGCCACCATACTTTCTGAAGTGATGAACTGTAGATTAAAACGGATTTTGCCTTTTCTATGATCAGTATTTAGTTCAGAGGCTTTCTATACTGCATTGTGTATTTCTGTTGCTTTTATTCTGTTGGAAATAATCAGAATGACTAAAATAACCCAGAAAACAACTTGGATCGGACGGCTTCTTGTTGATGTGCACTCTGTGATAAGATTAAAAAAAGATGGAATATGTTACCTTGTGCAATCAAACAAATGCCCAATCATTTGGTGTTCAACTCTGTAATCTAAAAGGAAAATGAAAGCCTGTGCTATTCTGGCCTGCCAGCCCAGTTTGGCTTATGCTGACGATCGATAACTTTCTGTGTCCCCAAATTCTGTGGCATGGCGGGTCACCTACGCAGCGTGGGCCGTTTGAGACCAGGTCTGATTGGATGAGAGGGGCCGGAGCGTCAGGCAGGTGGTGCTGTGTCCACCTGCCGGACGGCCCTGAGCCTGAGCGGCTCGGCTCTCCCCCCCCCTCATCTGCGGTAACAGAAACGTGGAGAGAGAAACACATGGCCGCTCCACCTGGAAGGGGCTGCTTTCTCACTGGAGACCACCCACATGTTAAAGGGGCGTGAAAAAACATCTGTTTGACAACGTCAGAGTCCTCAACCTCCACCCAGCAGTGGAATGTAACCAGAAAGTCTTCTCTACTGCTATAATTAGCAATATTATTTGTTACTTTTCCAAAAAAATAAAATCATGAAAAACCTCTCTATATCTGCTATGATAAAGTTTTTTTTTATTTTACATCTGACTTTATTCAAACCACACAGTGTTCTCAGCCGTTCTCTGTATAATGTGTTTCTTTTGACCCTGGATAGTCGCCTCACGTGAGCTCTGATCCACGTCCAGATTGCGATAACCACCCAGAAAAAAGGACACATTCAGAGGTGTTACACGTCCAGCAGAGTGTTCCGGCTGTAGGAAGAGGGCGCTTTGTGTTTTACTTTGTGCAGCCTTGTATGTGGCAGATTCACGGGGCCTCAGAGGCTCGCAAACGGCCTCTTCTTCTCATCTCACAAAGATTGCCATTGTTTGGTCTTCCTCTTCTCTCGCACAAAGTGTGCGAGTGTCCCTCACTCGCACAGCTCTTAACTCCCTCTTCCATTTGACTTAGATGAAGTACTGTGGAAAACATGATGGAAGGAGAGAGACACACAAATTATGAGGTTGTCAATAAAAACTATTAAATATTTGCTTCACGGTTTGCTGGACTTAGATGAGAAGGGAGGGTTGGCTTAGCTTAGCAACAGCAGTGGAAAACAGCTACCATGGCCTCATTTGCACACTTTATCTTTTTAATCTGTTATTAAAAACTGGAACTAAATTAAATATGTAAAACAGCCTTTTAGATTGCAGTCAGGCAACCAGTGCCCCCTCATCCAATGTAACCAGAGCAATGCAAAGAAGCAGACTTTTCATATTTAGGCTAAGATTACAGCTACTGTTAATAATATAATTTAATACACATGGGGTGGCATTATACTTCAGGTGCCCACCAAAAGAAGAATTCCATTTATATCAATATCATTCTCACAATGCAATAAGTGAGGAGTTTTCTATATGATTTCATCAGGAGGCCACAGCTCCTCATTAACAGGACATTATGATAATTAGACTATTTTTCTCTTCTGATCTGGAAGATGAAAACGTGTGCCAGCAAGCAGTTGCCATGGAGACTGAAAAAAAATGAGTCGCATCTCTAGTTGTTGCTATATTGTTGTTTGTCAAACTTATCCTTTTGCCATTCCTGGGCTCAGTTCACTCTCCAGAAACCAGCGAGTCGACCTTTGTTTACGTCACAGTCGGAGGGAGCCAGTTGTTAGGAGACGAGATCCTAACTGGGGAAATGTATTAATATACAGTTTTTGAAGCGCCTGCACAGTTGATTTAATAAAATACGACCAAAGCAATCATTTTAAATATTCAAATCCTTCTTTCAGTGCTTTTGCAGAATGTGGATGCTCGGAAGCATAAAATACCCACGTCATCATGTGTGAGAATGAACATTTTTGTCGTTATTCAGAGTTAAAAGCATGCGATTGCGCTGATGTGATAAAATGCTCTAAAAAAAGCGATGACCCCAGAAGCTTATGCACAATGAAACCCATTAAACTCGTTCTTTCACCTTTTTCAAACATATCATGAGCTACTGGAAAGCATGTCAGAGAACTTTAGGGTCTGAGTGGAAAACTGTATTAAGTTCTAAACAGCATTGCCTTCATCATTAGTCTTAGACTCAAATGTAAAACAAAGTGGACTTTTTAACTCCCTTTAGGGACAGACATTTCCGGATAATAAGGTTCCCCCAGATTGTTAACCGTCCCTATAAAGTACAGAGCGTTGACTGCAGAGGAGGAGAAAACAAGAGGGGCTAAAAACAATAGTTTTCCTTCAACAGTTTTTGAAAGGCGTCTTTTATGTGCCTGCTGAAACCTCCAAAATGAGTCAACAAAAACCTCGGCGGCTTCTGGGTCACTGCATAAAGACTTTTTTTCTGCTCTCTGTTCCTGTGTGTGGGCAAATTTAAAGAACCGTGTGTGTGTGTGTGTGTGTGTGTGTGTGACATATCAGGGACGTAGGAGGCTGCATTGCTGCCTCTTTCTCCTCGTGGATCCAGCAGCTGTTCGGCAGCTGTGCGCACAAGTGTGAGAAAGCCTGTGTGTGTGTGTGTGTGTGTGTGTGTCAGCACATAAAGGGGGGAGTGTTTGTCGGTGTGTGTGCGTGTCAGAGGGGAGAAAGAGACGGAGAGGCAGGGCCGTAATTTATGCTGCACCTCCGACCCCGGGGCTCTCGGCCGCCTGTGTCTCTGCTGAGGGGTTTGCTGACGTGAGAGAAAAAAAAGAGGAGTTTTTCTTTTCTCGCCAGCAGATTTGGGATGGTTGTCGGCCTCTGGTTGAAGCCCGGAGAGTTCCTCTAGCTCTGAGGTTCACGTGCTCCTCAGACAGGCCCGAGTGGATCATCCCCGCTGCGTGAATGGGATTGAGGCTCAAAGTGCTGGGTAGGGGAAAGCAGTAATGCAACGGCTTAATCGGGCTGAGGAGAACCCACACATACACACACACACACACACACACACGTACACACTCACACACTGAGCGGCCGTCTCAAGACTCCATCCTGTTTTCTCTCGGCGGGCCTCCGCCCCCACGCGCACTCGTGAGCCTCATTTGCACCGAACGGACACAGAGATCTTGCCCAAATGGGTTTTTCCACTATTAATGTGTCCTGTAGGATGAATTAAAACGCCAACAGATTAAACAGAAACGCACGGCCTGGCAGATTATTTGTTCGGTTAAGAGGACACTGCGGAGATTGGGCGATATCGGGGCAGGAGGAGGCCGTTTAGATCAGATCGACGACTGTAGACTGAAAGAACTGGGGGGAAAAAAAGGCAAATGTTTTGAGAACAAAGGTAAGACACATCTAGCTTATCGCCGTGTCAGCATTCCTTCTGCGCACTTAAGCACTGGAGTGTACAGAGGGCCCATTAAAACATGTTGCGAATGATATACTTTTGTGTAGACAGAGCTGAAAGGAGCCAACGGTGAGGAAAACATCTCCCAGCTGAAAATCTGCCAACGTGGGAAAGCTGCTTCTGGTAAACAGCTGTCATCAACGTGGATCTGTTTGAAAAAGCTCCATAGCTTTGTTTTTTCCACTTCCCAATGGGAGTGCAGTTCCTCAAGAATCCATTGCAACTAATATGAAGTCACTGGAAGGAATGGGAAACAATTTAAGGCACTGTTTCGTGCTTCTATCTGAGGTTCCGATGACTTCCGATGACTTCAGGAGGAATGAATTTACTCCTGGATGACTTTCATGCAAATGAAACGGCCGCATTTCAAGTGCGGCGGCCAGTAAAGTGGATGAGAAAACAACTCCGAGGAAGTTTTCATTCACCTAATAGAAACACATTTCCAAACAATAAATGCCACTTCTGATCATGTGACCTTTAAAGGTCCATGTAGAATTTTATTGAGAGGACCTGCACATCGAAGTCAAAACTCCCAAGCACTGTTATGAAAACAGGATTTAAATAAACTGGAAAACAGTTGTATGTTTGCCACATGCGCAGCAGGAAACCCATCAACTCATTTCAGTTGTTGCTAAATTTGCCTTTTGTTGAACTTTTTTGACACAGAGGTTTGTCTCCAGATTTCACTACTGAACTCTGATTTGTCTTTCAGCCAACTTGAGGCAAACTGTGGACTCCGAAAAGCAGTTGTACGTATAGTGGAGGTCATAGGAATTCCCATATGATTAAACCATGTGTATGTTACCACGTGCAGTTATGGTGGAGTGATGTAGCAGAAATGTTTCAGTGTTTTTGCATCTGACCTGCAGATATCTGGTAAAAAAACTGCAAAAAAAATGGCTGAGAAGGGAGTATACCGTTTGGCCAAATAGATGTTTGAAATTGTCTGCAACCGTAAGAGTTAAATGTGTCAGAATGCTTACATTTGACCATTTGTTTGAAATAAGTAGCTATAATAAGTAAAATGATCTATTAATCTGTTAGATCTGAGGGTTTAATCTTTAATAGGAACAAATAAGCTTCCCACTAGGTAGCAAAGTCTGAAATGGGATGTTTTTAAGCACTAACACACAGTGGTTTGTCTTTTAATGGGATTTATTTGCAGTAACAAAAATAGAGTTGAATTTTCTACCTTTTGCTTTTAAATAAACTGATGGGGATTTCATTTGGAGAGTTGACAACAGAGACCAGATTAAATTTGTTTGTTTATTTGGAACCCTTCTCCAAATCACATCTGTAATTTTTCCATTTCACAAAATATTTACAAAAAAAGATAATTTCTTTTTTTTTTTTATCTTAAAGGTGGGTGTCATAACAGCTCCCTTTTAGGATGATGAACCGTTGCTTTCGTCTTTCTGTGGAGTCTTGCTCTTTAAGAAAAAGTTCATGAAAAAAGTTCCTCCCGCGTTTTTTTTTTTCATACACTCATTTTAAAACAGCTAGGAGTTCCTTCTTGTTTTCTTTTGAGTGCTTTAAAAAAAAAAAAACAAAAAAGAAAAAAAAAGAAAAAAACAAAACAACTTCCTTGCATGTCTTCAGCAGCAAACAGGAAGCCAAGAGCTCGTGTGCTTATTGAGAGGAAGTGACATCTTTGCCCTGCAGGAAGTACAATTACAGCATCCTCAGGTCGTCCGGATGCTCGATTGGTTTGGTCTGTTCGGCCTTGCCCTTTTCTCTACAATCAAATAGTCTCTGTGGACAAGTGTGACACATACAGGTGTACCAAAGAACACAAAGCCATAGTCATCACTAAAAGGAAAGTCTTCCTAAGGTTTGCTGTCCGTCAGAGGCTGCAGGAAGGGGGAACGAAGGGGTAAACAAACTAAAATTCTCAAAAATACAGAAGCCTGGAGAGTTTACCAGCCCTTCAGACGCAACCCTGTCGTCCCTCCGCGGGGGTGGGCGTCTGTAGTCTCGGCATAGGAAGGCACCCGCAAGTGCGTTGTGGGTATTCCATGGAAGAGCGTTTTTTTTTTTTTTTGTTTAAAGTTTTACGATCCTCCCCTAAATCAGCAAAGAAAGGAAGAGGTGCCCAAGAGGAAAAAAACAAAGAGGCACAAAAAGGGGGGGGGGCCCCCCCCCCCCCTTTTATCAAACGGAGTCAGCAGTGTGGAGAAAAATATCAGGCTGATAACGTAAGGCAGTTGGCCTCAGTGTGACCGGTGGGGCGGTGCCAGCGGCCAGCTGGACGCTGGGGAGCGCGCCCCCGCCGCCGCCGTCCCTTTTCCCGCCAAGAACCGATAAGAGTTCGTTTTCACTCGAGCAGTCCCCTACTCTATAAATAAAAGACCCATGTCGTCCCTCCGTCTTCGTCGTTCCTTATTTATGTGTTAAATGCCGAGCCGGTGGGAGCAGCGGGCTCTTATCCGTCTCACCTATAATATACACTACATGATTCACTGATTGGAAATAAAAGAAAGGAACAAAAGGAAGAAAAGACAAACCCTGCCCCCCGATTGTGTGTACATGTTCTATCTCAGTGTGTTCAGATATAAATACTTATTTAATGTGTGTGTGTAGCGTAACTGAAGTTGTGTTTTGTTTTTCGTTTTTTTTTCTTCTTCAAACCGAGGTTAATAAGACGGTAGAGGTGTGCTGTTTTGGTGCCTGTCGCCATCGTGGAGTGTGTGTGTCTGCCCTGTTAACTGGTGACGTAGTGCTTTGTGGAGGGCTGCCCGTACAGCCCGTAGAAGTCGGCGTGTCTGTGCGTCTGTGAGGCGTCGATCCAGTCCCTCACTGCCAGGCCCTGCATGGACGGCCCTCCGGAGGCCAGGCCCGGGGGAGGGGGGTAGTCCTGGGGGCTGACCCAGGGGAAGGAGCCCGAGCGCGGGTACGGGGGGTGGCCGCGGTGGCCCGACACCGAGGGCACCCCGGAGCAGTAGCAGTTATCCATGGTGCACACCAGGATCTTGCGGCCGCCGTACTGCGGGAGCACGGCCTGCTGGGAGGAGTGCGAGGAGCTGCTGCCCCCGGGGGGGAAGTGCGAGGAGCCGAACACCGAGCTGGAGTGGTGGCTGCTCAGCGAGCCGCTCCCGCTCCCGCCGCCGCCGCTCTCGCCGATGTGAGGCGGGGCGCAGGGGCCCAGGGGCTGCTGATTGGCCGACTGGCCTTCTCCAGAGGCGGAGCCAGAGCCCAGGTAGGGCTGCTTGGCTAACGATGAGGAGGAGGAGGAGGAGGAAGAGGAGGACGAGTCTTTAAAACCTGGACCGGGGGTTTTTCCAGTGCTTCCGGTTCCTTCTGGGAAGGCACTGGAATGTTTGCGCTTCTCGGCGCCGGAGCCGGAGCCCTGGCCGCTGGGAAAGGCGGGAACGGACTGCAGGAAGGCCGACGGAGGGGTGAGGGGAGCTGAGGGAGGAGAAAAGGTGCAAAAATAAGAAATAAGCAGGATCTAAAAAAACAAGCCCTGCATTTAAGCCAAACGTTTTTCCTGTTTTTTTTTTATTTTACCTTCCAGCGTTCTTTTTAAGCTCTTCTCTCGTTTTGAGATCTCGGAGATAAACAGCTTAGAGTTCAGGTTTCCGACTTTGTACGGAGGGAGACTGCTGCCCACACACGCCTGAGACCTGGAAAAGGTGCCAAGAGGTATTTAAAAGTCATGACGAGAGCACCTGGAAGGACTGCCGGCACGCATGCGTTTAAAAACTCAATTCCCACACGGCGGCTCGCTGGCTCACCTGTCCGCGAGGATTTTGACGGGCTTGGTGTTCTTCATGAAGCTCAGCTCCTCCGCCTTCCCGAAGGCCGTGTGGATGGAGCTCAGCAGCTTCTGGGCCTCGTGGCGCTGCTCTCCCAGAGCCAGGACCTGGGCGGCGTTCTCCTGGCAGAAGCGGGCCTGGGCCCGGTCCAGGGCTTCCAGCGTGCGGCCCAGGTCCTCCTCCAGGAGCTGGTGCATCCGCTGGTACTGCAGGCGCACCTCCTCTTTCAGCTCGCACACCCTGTCCTGTTGGGGGGGGAGGGGCAAAAACGTCAGGCCACTGGGACCCATAGAGAGTTTGCTTAACGCCGAGGCGGCCCTGAACGCACCTCCACCACACACTTGTCGGAGTCCAGCTTGCAGAGCTGCTCTTCGATCTCCTGCACTCGCTCCTCCACGCGCTCCTGCTGCCTCAGCAGGTTTTGCTGGGAGGAGAGAAAAAAGACAAGAAAAGAAAAAAGTTTTAGACTTGCAATCCCCCGTTTTCCACCCTCCCCATAGATATTACAAATCTGGGAGGTGGATAATTCAGTCTCCGATCTAACACAGGATCCCTGCGGGGGAGGAAAGAGGGGGGATGCTGCCATAGCAACCGGCAGCTATTTGGTGTTTGCGTTAGTGAGCGAGGGCCGAGGCCGGGGGAGCCGGGGGCAGCAGGCGCAGGAGATAAAACGGGGCGGGGAAACTGTGCTCTCCCCCCCCCCCCTCTTCGGTGCTCCTCCTCCACGCCGTCCTGCGCTTTGCGGTTTAACGAGGCCGCGCTGCTCGGTCAGTTGTGGTGATGTTGTGGCAACGGCAGCCGTTATTTCCGCGACGACGACGGCATGTAAACAGCAAACTTTCGACCCCGCTGGGTTTCTCTCCCGCCCCTCCCTAAAAGCCCGGAGGTCGATCATTCCCGTTAATATTTAACGAGAGGGATGAATTTTCCTCGCTAAACATCTCTAAGTTGCTTCAATATTAGCAAAGAATCGTCAATACGGGTTGACAATGGTGTAAGCTGCTCTGTGACCCCTATACCAAGACACTGAACTAAAAACTTCTTTAGTTTCCCGCGATTGTCGCCCTTAAATTCCTAAAAGGTGTGGAGCTTCATGACGGCCCACGTGTCCTCGGCCTTTTCCCCAGCTGAGGCACAGCTGGAGGACCGGGGAGAGATGAGCGATCAGATGACTTATCCAGCAGATTATTCCAACTATATTGGAAGATTATTTTTCAAGGTCGTGAACAGAGCTGAAAACTTTGCCATTTCAGCAAGACAGCCCTTTAAAAAAAACCAACTAAAAAACAAACAAGAAAAAGCTCTTCAGATATTTATCCATTTGACTTTAAAAATAAGAAGATATACAAATAAATGAATGCTTCTATGACAGGTAACCTCAGCACTGACTACATTATAGAAAAGTATTCAAACATAACACATACTGACAATTTGAACCAAACTATGAAGTGTTCATACACTGGAAGTGGGGAGGAAAAAAAAAAAACTGGAGTGAAACATACTAAAAAGGCTAAATATCTGAAAAGATGATGATCAGTCCAGACTGCTGAAGCTCTAAAGCCGAGACTTGTCAACAAAGCTCAGCTTTAAACTGATATTTGTCCAAACCTTCAAATAACTAAAAAAAAAAAAATCTTCACAAAAAACTAAAAATCTCTGAATCCTCAAATTCCTCCAACTGACAGAAGGACGTTTTGTGGGCAACAGAGGGGAGACTGACGGCCGGACAGGCGTAGCGGACGGAGACGCTCCATCAGATTAAAAGTGAATGATCGGTTGTTCTGGAGCTGAAGGCCTGATCACATACCGGCATCCTCATCATCATCACTATGCAGCCATTCCAACAAACAGCAGCTGATTTTATCATTAGTGATCAGCTGCTTTGGAGCCTGACAGGAATGAAAACCTGCGTGCTCCTGTGTCTCAGCAGCACATGGTGGGGAATCGTTGCCCTAGATATCTCTGACTGTTTCTCTCTCTCTCTCACGCACACACACACACACACACACAGACACACACACACAGTCGGCGTGGTTAGATCCAGGACGCTGACCTGGTTGTGCTGACTGATTGAGTTAGGCTCTGAGCAGAAGCCGGGGGGATGGCGGGGTCGAAGGAGTCGAGGCTTTGCAGAGGGGGTTGGATGGGGATATAACCCACATGTATTGGATACCTTTCGGGAAGGGAGAGGGGGGAAAGAGGGGGGGGTGGGCTTTTTAGCTGTCATTTCCTCACAGTGTCTTTTCCATCAGAGCCACTAGAGCAGAGGAGGAGGGCCAGGGGGAAGGTCGGCACTCGCCAGAGGTGGCTGGTGGATGGTGTGAGGGAGCCGAATTTAGCGGGGGGGGGGGCTGGCTGAGCTGGGGCTGCGTGTCCGTGTGCGCTTTAATCACATTTATCGTGCAGGATGCGCGGATGATCGCTATCACGATGGAAAAGATCTGAAACATTTACAGATGAATGGTACAATTCAAAGACATTTGAATAATTTCTTGGAATCTGAAGACATTTATGGCATGAAATCGTGGAAAAGTGGAGGAGGTAGACACATCTGAGCTTCCGATACAGTTCTTTCAGAAGATTCAATAAATACATGGTGTTTCTCCCTTTCTAAATGCATTCAAATTATCTTTATGTTACAGGTACCGATTAACTGATTTAGCTGCTACTCGTGAAAAGAACAGAAACAGACATGAAACTGATACTTTGATGTCTGTCTGAACACAAAACCAAAACATTCAGGTATGGATGTCAGAGGATTAATAATAAAATAAATAATAAATAAATAAAATAAAAAAGAAGTATGATCTTCGGATGTGACTGAATCTGGTTTTATCTTGGGGGGGAAGTGAGAGATTACAGTCAAATCAGTTCAATTCTGCCATTTCTGTTTCCACAATAACTATTTAAAAAGATCCACGCAGCTGAGTCATAGCTTTACCGACAGGAAAGGCCCTCTGCCACCTAAACGGGGTGTAGGGTGAACTGAATCAATCAGCCGGCAGTGACGCGCTCATGGTTTTACTGAGCCACTCTCAGAACTCATAACAGAAAATGGAAAAACCAGTTCGACCTCCTGTTGGAAACACAGACAGTGAGCACCAAACCCCCAGGAAGAGGAAGGTTAATATTAAACCCAAAAAAAAGAAGAAGAAAAAAAAAACAAGTAGGCCGTTGACGCAAATGACAAATCACTTTAATCCGCCTTCCCCTCGACTCTGAACCCCCCCCCCCCCACAACTGGCGATCCCAGGGCTCGGATGCACCTGTGCTGGGGAGATAAGGCCCGCTGAGGGCCCCTCATTGTTCCACCCATGGCTGCATTGTTTGTCATTCCAACAGATGAGAACGAAGGCTGAGATGGATCACAAATGGGGGGAGAGAAAAAAAGAAAGCAAGATGGAGTGGAAACACTCCCAAATGCTAATGTTTCGAAAAGCAGGAAACGCATCACCGCTGACTTATACCCCCAAAAATCTCTACTGAGTTCCTCTCATAAGACAAAGAAGGCATTGAGACATGTCCCACGCCGCTGAGGTTTGAAGACTGCACAGCGGATGAATAATGACCTCACTGGCTCCGTTCTAACGGCACTTAGGCAGCATTGATCACCGATAACAGACATCTTTCTTGACGAATGTTTAGAGGGCGGCATGTCAACACGTAGTAAAATATGAGGAGCGACACAGTTTGTCCGAGTCGAAAACACAAAAGATTGAATTGACATAACTGAAAAATAAAATATAGTAATGCTTAAACACACAGAGAAGTAGAACCAGAGAATTTCTGCCACGATTTGCTCTGAAATTGCGTTTTTATTCCCGGTTTAAAAACACACCGGACTACCTGCAGCTCCTTTTGGAGCGCGAACCGAAAACGCTTCACGTGTGTGTGTGTGTGTGTGTGTGTGTGTGCGTGCGTGCGCGGCGTTGGAGGGCGTCTTACTCTGATGTCGTTGCGGCGCAGCTCCACGTCGGTGACGGCGTGGCCGTGGCTGGGGTGGCAGCGGGCGAAGCAGCAGTACTGGCACACGGCCGTCTGCTCGGCCTCGCAGTGGTACAGCCGGTACTCGTCGTGCTGCGGGCAGGTCCAGGCCTTCACCGCCTCCGCCTCCACCAGCAGGTGCCCCAGCGCCGAGCAGGGCTGCTGCAGGTGCGTCTGGACGTGGGACTGGCAGCAGGGCGCGTTGCAGCGCAGGCACACCTTGACGGCGGGGAGCGGCGGGCCCCGCCGGCACAGGATGCACTGCGGCGCCGGCGTGCCGGCCTTCTCCACGCTCAGGGCGTTGTACTTCTCCACGATGTTGGACAGCTTGTGGTTCTTCTCCAGGCTGGGCTTCTGGGCGTAAGCGTGATTGCACTCGGGGCAGCGGGCCAGCGAGGACTCTTTGGCCCAGGCCTCGCTGATGCAGCCCCGGCAGAAGTTGTGCTTGCAGGGCAGCTGGATGGGATCCGAGAACACGTGCAGGCAAATGGGGCAGATGAGCTCCTCCTCGAAACAGTTCCTCCACGTTTCAGCCATGTCGGAGGCCATCGTGGCGCAGGCAGGCATACACCGGGAGTTCTCCCCACTTCTACCAGACCTCTAGGCTTCTGCCTCCTAAACGAAACCCGACACGCTCTCAGAATCAGCTGTGACAACAAGATAAAAAGGACCCCGGGCCGTCCTTAAAGATCAGTCTCAGTATGCCAACCCGGCTCCCAAATTAGATGAGTCTCCCTGACAGATGATGAGTATTGCTTATTAATGCAGCATGAAGGCAAATTCCAGAAAAACCAAGAGGATGCTGCAGGCAAAGATGACAACACCTTGGTGATTTCCACACAAGAAAACAAGGGCTGACGTGATACGGATTACAGGAAACGGTGCTTTCCTTTCCTCTAAACCAGCCCTCTGAGCTCGTGTGTGTTTTCGGGCCTGCTTTACACATAAAACCCGTCTGTTACAGGTAAACCATGGAAATGCAAACAAGGCACAGAGAAATCCAACATCCGCACCACAACATTCAAGCCGGAGACGAATCCATCTCCGTGTGACACCTGAAAAGAGTCTTGATCTCTGCTGCTGTCTATTCAGGCCCTCACCTTAAAGAGCTCCCACCCCACCACCACCACCACCCCACCCCACCCCCCAAACACATACACACACACACACACTTTAAACGTCGGATTATGATTGACTGTGGACCGATTCAGACTAACAAACGAAGCATGAAAAGCACGAGAAAGGACCGCCGGAGTCCACACCCTGATCGTTATTCACACACAGGACGCTCCTAAAAGCATTTAAAAAAAAAAAAAACCTGATTCTGTTTCTCTATCGGGGAGCTCAAGGACGCCGGATTCCCTCGATAATCTCAACGCAGCGCAACGCTTTTGTCCGCCGAATCCCCAGTACCCGAAAAGCCTCCGCCGGCTATTAAATCACACATCCATCACAGGGGAAAGGTTTGGCAGTAGACACACACACACACACGGACACACAAATAAAAGCGGTCCAACCGATTAAACCGAAGAAGCCCCGGTAGCCCCGGTGTTTCCATCAGAGGTAAAAAAAAAAAAAAAAAAACTAAAAAAAACGACGTTTCTGCCTGATGGATTTCAAAGCCTGCCGTGTGGAGCTGCTCGCATATCTGTACACAAGGCCTCGGCTTCTCCTAGCCAGCTCTCTGTCGACAACAAAGGCCTTTTAATCTCATTAAACGGAAAAATCATACCCGGGCCATCGTTCGGAGGGCCGTTTTTACTGCATAGTTAATCGTTTTAATGGTCCGGTCCGGCTCCTGCGCACAAAACAAAGGCTTTTAGGATCCGCAGGAATGTTGGCTGCTGTTGCAGAGCCGTTTGCCTTTCCCCCCCCCCCCCCCCCCCCGACCCATCTATCAAACACCTCCTCACACAAAGATTATTGGAATTATCTTTCAAACGCAACGTATGCTTTCTTTTGTTTTTTTTTGTTTTTGTTTTTTGCTTTGGTCTCCGCCTTAAACCAACTGAAGTCTCAACCTTTAGCTAGCAACATATTAATCCACTTCCTTATCTTGATTAAATCGCGTGAATTACCTCAGACGTCACCTCAACATTTTCTAGCACGGCACAGGTACATGTTAACACCGAATAGGGTCCGTTTTCACGCGAGGACGGTCCCCTCTAAGAGAGGCTGTGTTCATAATGTTCACAGACAGCCATATTTATAAATTCAACTAATAAAATTACAAAAATATACCCTCCTGATCTTAAAGGGGACGTCGCGTTTCTGTCCTTGTTAGGGCTAGCTGTCATCAGCCATCTTGAAAATCCTCATTTAAAAAAAAAAAAGCAGATATCCGCCGTGAAAAGGCTGCTTCACCAGATCTGTTTTTCGACTGCCGATCTACATATAAATTCACAAACGTAAAGTCTCGTTTTCAAACGACAAAATCGCTTTTTTCGGTACTGTAAAGTCCGAGGGAGCCTTCTGGTCGGGGGTACGTTTCGTGGCCTGATGTGTCCTGTGTGAGGCGACTCCGTGGTTCATAAAAATCCAACACGGTCGTGAATAATAATGTGTGTTTCTCCCCCTTTCTTTCTATCTCCATCGACCAGGCTGTGGAGACACAAGAGGAATGCAGACGAACTGACTGAAGCAAGTCAAGACTGACTGCTCGACGCGTGACTTCCGGCTGTGGCCTTCAAAACAAAACCGCCTTTCAGCCGTGTAAAACAGCTAGCAAAAAAGCTAAGCTAGCCAACAATGACAGACAAAAATGTTAACAATTACTGTAAAAATACAACATACTTCTGGTCCACTGTATATCTAAATGATTTTCCTTGCAAATATAACTGCACTTATTATTGCCCACTGGCCAAATTAGTTTAAAATGTAATTATTGTGACACTTTGTTGTATTTTGAATAAGCTAACACAACTCAATGAAAGCATATTGGTAAAGAAGCACACATTCTGAGATAATCTTCTAAAACACTTAAAAATCAACCAACAAACCCAGGATAGTATATGAGTCACATTCAGTTTGTCCAAAAGTAGACAGTAATGATCAGCCTGGAAAGGCCATTGTGGTAATTGCTTAGGCAGGGATGAGTACTACTTAAACTGTACATGGAATACTTTCATTTTTTGACATTTCACACATCTGCACAACACATTTGTTCACTGAAGCTGTATTACATTGTGCACTCAAAAGGGAGCTATGTCCATTTTGTTTGGAGATTTAAAAGGTTCCTTACTACTAAATACCATCAATATTCTTCCAGTGCTAAATTACTTGAACACTCCACACATGTCAAGAGGGAATTTCTTTTATAAATTTGTTTAAATTTTGTATGGAATAGATTCTTTCATTTTTTGCCTTGCCGGTTTATATTTAAGTGTTTGTGTCTCAAAAGAGCTATATATATAAAGCTGAGTTGGGGCAATAAGTAATTCTACCTACTTCATAATGGGTTCCTTCCATTCTGTGTTTTAAATGTGTTATCTGCTCCTTTGCTTTAAGTCTATAATCTTCTCAGTCTTTATTGCAGACTTGGAAAATTATTTTTCTAAACTTTAGAAAGCTGAGTCCTCTTATTTGTCCAATGATGGTTCGAGTTTGGTTCCATTTACCAAAGGGTTTATTTGCTCTCCCTTGTTTGCTACCTTTGATTTAACATTAAAATCAGCCATGGGCAAAATAACAGAGAAATACAAATCTTTTGAATGATAACAACTGTGTTATTACAGTATAGCTACATAACAAAGAGGAGTTCTATAAATTACAATGGTCACGTTTTGACTGAGTTTTCAGTTCCGAGTAGGTCTCCACCAACGTCCAGCGATATGTATTGAAATATCGCTTTCCTTCTGCTCAGAACTGACAAGCACACAAAGCTCAGCTGTTCTAAGATGTTTTAAATTTCTTTGAAAAGCCAAATATCTCACCGGTTAGTTACAACATAAAAATAGAGAATAACAGAAATATGTTATTCAGTTTATTGTTATTGGACCATGAAAGATTTTTAGATGAACTAGGAGGCAAAATAGAAAGCTGATCCTGCTTCATCTGATCAAATCAAACACCCATGAGAAAAGACTTAAACAACTTAAACATGCACAACTTAAACCTAGCGCTAAAAGACCAGGAGTCTTGCTTGTGGGCTGAATGGATGATGTAGACGCTGTCTTACGGTGAAGAAAGAAGTTAACAGAGGGGCTAAACTTCTGAGGTACCAGACAATCCGCATTCCAACCCTTAAGTGTGGTGTCAAGTTGTAGGAATGGACCCATGGTGTCGCATTGGGAGGAGATCTAAGGGCCGACCTAGAAAACATTGTGTAAACCTCATCATTCAGCTTGCTTTGGAACACCCAGAGTATCCAAAGGTGAGTCTGGTCTGAGCATTTCAACCCGACTGTCCCTGCAACTGAGCAAAAGTAACCAAAACCAGCCTCACATGAGATATACAGATACAGCTAAATACAGGTTTGCAAAGTAGTCCCAAGAATTATTTTGAAGCCCGAGCTTCCTGTCTGATTCTGGCTGTCTCTGGCAGACCTGACGCAGTTTCACAGCAGCAGCATCAGCCGCCCCCTCTTTCCATCTCCCACCACCTCATCTCCCTCCCTCCTTCCGGATCAACGCTATGGCGGTCACGTGATCTGTCACACAACTGATGTGCGTCACGTTCAAACCGGGAGGAGCGAAGGGGCGAACCGGGGAGGAAAGGCCCAGGAATTAGGTCTTAAAGGGTTTACTGTCCCGGACGCTTACCATCCACCTGAGGGGAAAAA